CTCTCTCTCTATAAGATTAGCCTCTGTGTCTCTGTCTCTCTACAGACGACCCCCTTGCTCTCTTATACTTATTCTCCACGTTCCTGAAACCCTAGTCTCCAAGGAACACAATATGGACATCTTCCATAACATTAAGTGCAACTTTCCTTTTCTTGAAATGCACTTATTCCTCTTTCTTTAAGTCATAAACTTGCTCCTCGAGTTTATTCCTCTTGCCTTTTCTCCAAGATACACCCTTGCTCTCCAAGTCTACACGACTCCAGCTCAGCATCTTGACTCCACATGGTCTTCACCACTCAACACGACGTCTGCCTCAGCAACTACGTCAGCGACTACTTCAGGGCGGACATCTTACATCTTCACTACCTTGGAGACATAACCCGTTTACAAGAGTTGAAAACGTGATTGTGTTAGGCTCATACCCAAGCTTCAAGCCTTTTCCCATAATAGAAAAAGCAAAACCGAGTTTCCGGAGACGGCAGAAGCAATTGATTATTATATTCACAGTGTAGCTGTTATGTTTCATCCCTTGAAACTCCATTTGCTGGCAGAGGGATAACACGAGTTCGTACTGTCTTGTCTTGGCAAGAGCACTAAACAATCTACTGAAATGTATGATACTAGGAAGAGGACGAGACAAAAGCATGGATTTGAAGAGCTCAACAACATCATCTTTCTTATTATCAACAATACCAATTCTTAGTCTCTCTTTGTAAGAGACTTTCTTCCCTTTACAGGCTTGTTCAGACAAGAACATAGTACATGTTTGGAGAAAACGTGTCTGAACAAATCTTGGCATGACCCAATTGAAGATTTTGAAAGCTCTGGAGCTAACAATGTCTGCACACACATCAAACGTAAAAAAAGATTTAAGCTTTTTAATGAATTCAAGAAACTTTTTGGACAAAACAAAAACCCATAAGCGATACTTTGAGAAAAATATAGTCTTTGTGTCTGCAACGGAAGTAAAAAGCAGAGACTTTTCAAAACCAATCAGTGAGTTTCTGCTTCTGTTGTGTATGGAGAATCGATCTTTTTTCAGAAGGAATCGCTGACGGATCACAGAGGGGAAGTGAAAAGGGAACCAAAGCTCGCGGGAAAATCAAATACAGAGATGCAATAGGTGATGAATACATACGACAATGCTTTTTTTTGTTTGACTTCTACAACCGGTTTAATTGTATAATTCACCGGTTCAAATAAACCGGTTTTTTTTTTAACCTTCTGTTGCTCTCAGATTCTATTACAGTATTTGTTTTTCTAAGGGGTGGGTGGTCAGATCTACTAATTATTAATTGCAGAGCTGAATCCATTTCAGGTTTGTTTGTTTTTTTCTTTTTTTTTTAGGATCAGTATATACCAAAATAAAATAGACCCTCATTCGTTCAGTATGCTTTGTACATCTTATATCCAAGTAACTCAACAATATTTCGATACATTTACAATTCCCTTCTTTGAATATAAAACATACGGGATTAATTTGTAGAATTTTAATTCAGATAAGAAATAGTAACTAAATAAACAGGATAACCTGTGCAGCATAAAAGGGTGTTAAAAACTGAGAAATTTGTTAAATTTGCAAAGAATTGTAAGGAATTTTGTATATTGTAAAAATCTATAAACATAAAGTAATGTAATGATTTTAATAATTCGAGGAAAACATGTAGTATTCTCAAAATCTTGTTTAAAATTTTGTTTTGTGAGTTAAAATATTACGAATTCACCCTTTAATAATAATTAATTTAGTAGATTTCTAGAATCATTAAAATTAAAATTTATTTAATAATAAATATTTTTGTATAAAATTATAAAATCATCAAACTAATAATACTAGATTTTAATAAAAATGTGAGAATCTATAAACTAATAACAAGATTTGAAAATTCTAAGAATTATCCAATTCCATACTAACACCTCCTAAAACTCTTGTTACATTTTTTTTTCTCAATTATTGTTACAAGAATAATCACAACAAAAGCCAAGCCACTTTCGACGACCACTAGTGAGAACGTGCAAGAGAATAACACTAGCTGTGCTGAGTGTACGTAGACAAAATATTAGCGAAATAATCCCTTTCATATTTAAACATTAATCTCTCACACTACTGCTTACTTAATTTATCTATATATATGTGGCTGATGGCACCATACAAGATTCTACCAAATGGCCCTCTCTTACCTCAAAACTTCTTCATCTCCTTTACTTATTTTGTCACCACAGAAGGGTGAATATAAATAAATACATCCAGCTTTCGCCACGTGTGGAAAAACCTTTTTCTTCTCTTCCTACTCACTATACTACTACAAATAATTAATAATTCAATGGCTAGTAACGGCTTAGCTAGCCGGAAAAAAGATCCGGTATACCGAGGAATCCGATGCCGGAGCGGGAAATGGGTTTGCGAGATCCGTGAACCGAAGAAGACCACTAGAATCTGGCTCGGAACTTACCCCACGGCAGAGATGGCAGCTGCTGCCTACGACGTGGCTGCTATTGCTCTTAAAGGCAGAGACGCCGTCTTGAACTTCCCTGGATCCGTCGGGTCATACCCGGTTCCTATGTCAACATCCCCAGCGGATATTCGAAGCGCTGCGGCTGCAGCTGCTTCCATGAAGGGGTGTGAGGAAGCGGAGGATGAGGAGGAAAATGCAAGAAAGAAGAGTAGTAGCTTCTCAAAGTCAAGAACAAGTGATTTCCATTTTCATGATGACATGATGGGGTCTTCGTCACGGTGTGTGACAGATTTCATGGACGAAGAAGAGTTGTTGAATATGCCTAATTTTCTAGCTGATATGGCGGAAGGGATGATGGTTGCTCCGCCCTCATGGATAGGTTCTCGTCCGTCGGATGACTCTCCGGAGAATTCCAATGATGAGGACTTGTGGGGCAACTGATAACTGATAGGTTGTTTTTGTGTTATGTTATATCCACGTACGTATTTTTGTAATCATCGGTCTTGTTTCTTTGTTGTACTGTTGTGTGTGCTTGTTAAGTATGTCGCTTATGTTATGTGATATATAGTAATATCATAAATCTTTAAATTATGTGTATGTCCAATTTTGTTTTCAAAATTATGTTTAGTTAAAGGTGTTCATGTCGGTCATGTTGTGTTCTTAGTTATTGATGTTTACAAAGGTTGGTTCTACGCTAGGAGGAAATTAGGGCTTAATGTGCAAACTTCTCATATATATATATATATATATATATATATATATATATATATATATATATATATATTTTTTTTTTTTTTTAAAGGGGGGGTTATTGTATAGAGAAATTAGGGTTTTGGGTTATTTGTGGATTTTTTCATCAGTTTTTTTTTTTTGGACAAAAGATTTTTTCATCAGTTTATTATGGCTTAGCCTTATGGTAGTGCTCTCATATCAAGAATAACTTAATTATATATATGTTCAGGTTCTTAGTTTGTTTTTGTTCGTTTTTATATACAGCAAACACCATATTTTTTTAAACCCGTTCAAATTAAGATGTTAGATTGTAAAACTAACATAGAATGAACCAAATTGTTTACATGGAAGAGTTCCAAAACTTTCGAACGAGCTCCTTGTAAATCATCTCGAGAATTAAACTCATAAAAAAATCAAAGATAACAAAAATAAAGTAAACATCTAATGGAGATGAAGAAATTCTTCCCATTCGGAAGTCAAGGATGGCCAAAATTCTTCTTAATTCGATCAGCTTAACCATTTGCAGACAATCCATTTCAAAATGCATAGTATCAAGCCTTCACATTTGTATTTCTCTGCAGGTGAAACATAAAACGAGTCTTAATTAAGTTCCTCCCCAGATGACTACGCATTTTTAATGTTGCGCTTATGTATATGATTATATCACTTAGATATCCAAAGGTGTTTAGTAATATGGTATTTGTTGGATTTTATCGATAGTCTCTTCTTCAACCTAGATGATTGGTTTACTCACTATAATTTTTGTTTTCTACATATATATACAGCATATCTTTTTTTTCTACATATACAACATATCTATTTAATTGTTTTAGATACATTTGGAAATTCAGCTAGCGATCTAATTAAATTCCACTTAATTCGTCTTCTTGTGACATGTTTTTTCATATCATCATATGTAGTATCAATTGACTGATTGATGCTTGTAGCCACAATGATATTTATATGTATATATTTGTATTATATATTTTCTAGTGTTACTTTTGAAAAGTTTTGGTTTCTTGAGTTTCCTTTTATGGATATGTTTTTGTTGTAAAGGTTGTGCCATATATGTATGAGCACGATAATGTTTGCTTTCTCGGTCATTTTGTCGTTTTCTTTCTCGATCTTTTTGTCGTATTTCTTTCATGGTTTCCTCTTGTGAAAAAGCTGGTGAAACGCTTTTTCACCTCTTTAGTTTGTGATTCTTTCTGGCTAAAGAAGATATTTTTTTGATACTTGAGTTAAAATTAATATTTTTTACAACCAATTAATATCTATATCTGTACTAACATACTTCATTGGTTTAAAATTCGTACTATTTCAACATATTTCATAGAAAATAAGAACATTGTTTTCCGGAGAAAGGGCTTAGATAAGAAAATTGTTAAAAACATGTATTGCGCTTCTAAACATTCAACTCCTCTAACTATGTTCTACGTTAGTAGAATTAAGATTCAATTGTCTATTTTTGGATAAACTACGTTCAAAATTCAAAACAGTGTTTTATTATATACTGTGAAATATAGGTACAGCAACACATAACTTTAACTAGAGCGGAATTTCTAAATTCAACTGAAACATCTATACTATCTATATAATAAATACTAAATCTGATAAACAACACGAATCACTGCTAACTGCACTAGTATGATAATTAATAATTTAACGCCAAAAAGTTGGTCCGAAATAGTTATAAGACAAAAGCAAAATTACCAATATACTATAATCTTGCCTGAAGCGGACAAAGAGATATTAATTAGAGAGGTGACCATGTGGTTTTTCTTTAATCATATCCGTCACTAAGTTCTATATAGCTTTAGCTTTTCACAACTTTTTAATATTGTATCTTAAAATCACATAATGAATCATTTTGACAGTTTTAATGGGTTTCTGTCTTTTATAAATGGTAAAGGTATGGGTCCAAAAAAAAAAGTCCTTTTGTGCTAAAGAGTAATTTATAAAGAGAATATTCTCATTTTTGTAGTTGTAGACTTAAGAATTAATTAACATGGCTGACATTTTCCCTCTATGTATTCGGATTTTACTCTCTTGGTCAATTGTTGGTGACTTGGTGTACTGCTAATGAACATCTTTAAAATTGATATTGTCGTTGAAGACGGTGTTAATTGGTAAAAACATTAAACATATATTAAAGTGTATACACTTATAACTGTTATATTGTTCTTGTTTTGAGATAAAGCTGCCGCCACCGAGGAAAAAGTATTTGCAGAACTATTAGATTTGTTAGTGGGGTACAATGGCACATGTTGAATAAGTAATCCTCATATTAGGTTTTAACATTATTCACATATTTATACTTATTGTAGATATTACTGCAGATCCTATATCAATAAAAAAACTAAACTATGAAAAGAATAAAGAGAAAGAAGAACCGGCTCGGTTAGTTTTCAATGTTACATAATAAGAAGAAGCGCGGGAACTTACGGTTAAGAAGACATGAGAGAAGAACCGAAGAAGATAAGTGTTTTTGTATGAATCTTAACATTTACACCAAAAAAAAAGAAAGAAGATAAGTGTTTTGAGATAGTGTTTCGTGTAATTAACATTTGTTTTGTTTCTTTTAGTTTTCGTTTGGTTACTTGTTAATCTCTTGTTCGTTATGAAAAAGACCACTGGAGTTAAGTTCTAAATGACCAGTGAGTCGATATAGATAAGTAGTTCATGTTCCTAAGAAGGTGTTGAGAAAAAAAAAATTAAAATTTCTGTTTCTGTTATCTCTTCTCCTCAAGTATTTTCTGACTTAAGAGTTTCTTTCTTTCGACTCAAAAGCTTAAAACGTTGTATAAAAACACAATCTCTGGTTCACAGTTATTTTCCTTGTACAATGCAGGAAGCTGGAAAGCTTTCATTGTTTCTTGACAAACGGAGGAAGAAGAATGCAACAAAAGGATCACAGGTACATGCCTTATCGTCAACCCGATGCGTCTGAGCAATAGAGAGAGTATTGCTTTCAGACTGGATCGTTTAGATGGATCCATGATGGGCGTTGTGGCAGTCTTTGTTATGTAGCACTCAAATTCGTGTTGAGAACTAATGTTCTAGTTCACACTCTACTTTACCTTTTTCCTAATTTTCATTATTGCTTCTAAGTAGGAATTAATAAAAAGATAGTGCAACTCCATGGATTTAGAGTTCTTCACAAAGAATCAATGTATTCGTAATTTTTTGCTATGTAATAACATATACTTAGTTCATTCATATATTATTATACTTATGAAATACAAAGTTAACATTCATATATGTAAGCAGATATGTATTGAACAATACCCTGTACACTTCTATAAAGATAATTTTACGCTGTCATCAATGAACATTCAGTTGTTAAATCATTGATTGATGGCCATTTACTACATGACTGGTGGTCTCAAAACTCATAAGTGATCCTAATGAGTATATATAGGCTATTTATGTAACCTTTGAACTATTTTTTTTGTCCTTCCAGAAAACAATGATTCTAGATCTCAAAATCTGAATACACACATATCTATCTTCTTCACTATTATTTGGTAAGTAATTTTTTGCTGATTTTTTTATGTTCTCTATGATTTTAGATAATTTTGCTTATTTGTATGTTCTTATGATTTTGACTAATGATTAATTACTATATTTAATAAATAATTAGATCTATTAATATATAATTAGACTTATGTTAATGCAAGATGTGTTAACTACCTCACAAAATGGATAATAAATATATTCAGCAAATAAAAAATAAATAAAACAATTTGTTAACTTATAAATAGTTATGTTAACTGTAGATATGTTAACTAAATTTCTGTCTTTATATTTCGTCAACAACTGATACAGAAGGTATCACAAATCCAACCTATTAAAATAGTCACTTTTTATCTACTATATAAAAGTCATAGTAGATCCATTGTATTAGTTACATGACATAATAATCAATAAAATATTAATAATAAATTAGTTCTAATCATAAATTATTATTTTTTGTTATACCAAAAGCTGTTAAGAGAGAATCTAAGAAAATTTTACTAAAGTTTTTTTATTAAACAAGGATCAAATAATTAGTAATTAATAAACTATTATTATTATTTTAAATTCATATTAATTAAGTTTTATTATAAAAGAAAACGATAAAAAAGTAATGCTGTTTTTATAAATATTGTTATAATCTCTATTATATTAAAACAGAAATATTAAATAAATTAAATATGAGAATTATATTAAATTGGTAAATTAACCTACCTAATTTTGAAATACTTTCATTTAATTAAATTATTATCTACCATTGGGTTAAAATTTGCTAACTATGTAATATTCTTATAAAAATGTTATTAACATATTTTAAAATTTTTATTTATATATTTTCAAAAAGATTTTTTTATTTGATTATTTCAGATTATAAATTATTCTACCAAACTCAAAATTAATAACAATTAATAAAAATAAAAATATATAAAATAAATCACTATATATTAAATGTAGTAAGAAATCTAAGCAATAAAATTACAGAGTTATACAATATATAACACTAAAATATAAATATCATATCTAAAATATTAATGATAAAATCAAAGTTAAACATTTATAAAAAAAAATACCCAAACTCTAGTTATTATATAAACATACGAATACCACACAGAATAACAACATTCACAATCAAAAACCAACAACCAAAAACCAACTCAGCTAGCTTCACATTTTTATAATATTTTTCAAACAAACAAAAAAATGGAGAACAAAAATATGGCCATGATGGTCACAATGGCGATGGTATTGGGGTGCCTTGTGATTCAGACAGAATCTCATGCTTCTCCTGAAGCACAACCTGAACCTATTAATAAGTGTTTCAATGATTGTTATGAGGGTAATAATTGTACTACTAAGAAGTATCCAAATCCTTACATGTGTCCATTGATTTGTTTCATCAAATGTCTTCCTATGTCCGTATTTGTTCCTCCTCATCATGAAATCGATCATACTGATTATTTCTGCAACCTTGGCTGTGCAACTCATCATTGTGCTCACCTTTCTTCTCTCCCAAACCCAAGTATGTTTTTTACTAACACAAACAAATGTACGTTCTTGATTTTTATGGATACGATCTTATTAATCCATAGTTATATATCTTTATTAACACATACTATCTAATATTATTGATGTAAATTGACGATTATATGTTAACTTGTGGTTTTATGTTGTTTGTCGCATGTCCAGATGTAGACGAAGTTGCGGACTGTGTGGTGGATTCATGCTCGGACAAGTGCTCCAAGAAAAACTAAAATTAATATTAACTATTCTTATTATAATAAAAATTTGATATCTAAATATGAAAAGATGTGAGCTAGTGGATTCATGACTCTTTTATTAATGTGATGTTTTATCTCCACCTCCTAATACAAAAATCGAATCAAACATTTTAGAATATTCTATTTACATGATCTGTACAACATAGAGAGAAATGTAAAAAGGGAATCAAATCAAATCCAACTATTAGAGAGCTATTTTGATTAATGGTATAATAAAAGAGTCACTAAGATAATCATATCATGTGTGTGAAGGCTAGTTTTGTGTCAGAAGGCTCGACAGAGTGTATTAGCCGTGGTCAAGTTAGAAGAGTGTTGCTGTTCAATGGGGATGCTTGTTGGACTATACACTCTGCTTCTCTTTGGTTCTGAGATCCTCACGTTGGAGATAGCAACCACAAGCACATCCACCACACCGCTCTCATCTTCTTCCTCCTCCTCTGTGTTTGAGAATGAATCAGATGTCGTCTTCTTCTCTATGTTAGTTCTGTTTAGGTCAATTTTCTCTATCAGACTGTGAATCTGAAGACACGGAGGAGGTCCTGCTTGACCCTTGTGCTTAGAATTTATACACATCGTCTTGAGTGTCCTGTCTGTGTAAAAGAGTATCCATGGATCCCCTGAAACCATACAAGTGAAGATATGGTAAGCATTAAACGACAGACAAAAGATCCAATGATACTGCACACTCTAAATGGCTTACTTAGCACTTCATCCGCTGAGATTCTTGCAGATTCGTCCCTAGTTAGCATTCTTGACAATAGATCACGGGCTGGTTTGGACACGGACTCCCACACACCCGAGTTGAAATCAAGCTTCACTTTCTTTATTGCTTCGAAAATGGCATCCAGAGAGTCTCCCTTGAAAGGGAGTACACCAGACAAAAGAGCGTATAAGAGGACTCCTGCACTCCAAATGTCCACCTTCTCTGAATAGTTTTCAGAAATAACTTCAGGTGCAACATAAGCAGGACTTCCTGCCAATCCAGACAATGTTTGACCTGTAAAAACAAATGAACAAATAGATAAGTAAAATTTAGACAACTCAGTTAAGCTACAGAGGAAAAGTCAAACTCTAACCTCAAGTAGAATATATCAAACACTTAGATCTCGTAAAAGAAGAGAAACCATAACTCGAAATATAGTCAATACTTTAATCCCAACAACTAAAACATGTACAACAGCTATCTACTTTAATCACAGAAGATTAGCTTTTGGTTACATAAGTACTGTTAGACTGATGACACTATCAAGCCGCTATATTATTCTCTAAACAATGTGTACATGAAGTCACTGCACTTGACATTTTGATGAAGAGACTACAAGTCACTACCCTGAATAGGAGCATTTAGCTACATACACTAAGGAACTATTAGACTGAATATAATTAAACCTTTTGAAATTCTCATGGCAAGCCCAAAATCAGCAAGATGAATCTTCCCAGCAGAAGTCAAGAGAATATTCTCAGGTTTCACATCTCTATGCACAACTCCCATCTCATGGCAATACTTAATTACTAGCATAAGATCCTTGAATATATTAGCTGCTCGCTGCTCAGAATACTTCCCCTCCATAACCATCTGATCAACCAAACGTCCACCAGAACACAACTCCATCACAAGATGGAAACAATCCAACTCCTCATACACAGCATGCAATGCCACAACCCGAGGATGACCAGACAAATGCTGCATAATCTCAACCTCCCTGTGAACAGTCTCCTCTCCCTTCTTCAAAGTCTTACAAGCAAAATCCATCCCGTTATTCCTCGACCTACAGATCCTAACTAATCCGAATTTACCTTTCCCTATACTAGGACCAAACACATAGTCATCATCAATCTTATTCTTCCTACCGGTCTGTGTAGAAACATCAATGCAACCTATCTTCCTCTTTAGACCTCTCCCTGATGAAACTAAAGATGATGCACCACAAGGAGGTGCAGTAGCAACGCCAGCGAGTCGTCTCTTAAAGGAACCAACAGAGTCATCATTCTCCTTGCAACGTTTCTTAAGTCTAACGTAACCTTCTAACGAGAAGTGTGACCTGAAGTTGGATGATCGTGATAACTCCTCTGAACTCTCGGTTTCAGTTCCTTTCCGCTTCTTCCTCATCAAAAGATGTAACTTTCCACGAATGCTAGATCGAAACAGTTAAACCCTACACTCAATCCCTTGATCGAAACTACAGAGAGAGGATGCAGGAAACGAACCTCGGGAATCAACAAAAAGCGTCCTTTCTCGCGATTAGAAATACCCAATGTAGCGAATTGAAGAACTGATACAAAATCGAATCCCGAGAAATCAAAAGAGCAGCGAGAATTGAAACCCTAGCAATCTCCACGAAGTGATATTTGGGGGAAAAAAGCTAAGCCTGAATCAAGTAACAGATCTTCGTTAAGAAGAGGGATGTTAACGAGATAGTGTGATGTGTCTTATATATATATCAAGCCCGGTACAACTCCGGTACTGAGAAAACCGGTTTATGATTGAACCGGGAAACTGAGTAATCAATCCAAGCTCAATAAATGTAAAATCCCAACAACATCTCTAAAGTAATCGAATATTTGCCACGTTTTTCAACGGCCTTACTTAACTAAAACATGATTTTTTATTTTTATTTTTTTTGCGTCAACGAATTAAAATATGAATTTCAGACACATTTTTTGTAAGTTTATAAAATAACCCCGTATATATATATATATTCAATTATCTAACAATAAATACTTGTCTTATTATTGACTGTTAACTAATGGAACCACATGATGAAACTATTAAATGAATTCACATTCAGATAAATATTAATTTCCTTAATTATCAATCATCATCGTCTTCATCATCTCTCTAGTCCTCTCTCGAAACCCTAGCGATTCCCAATTTCATTTCCTGAGATCGAATTTCATCGAATTTCAGGAAAATTTAGTAATAAATAAGAAACAATGTCAACGGATGCTACGGAGACTTCCCCACCATCTCCCCGTCCATCCTCCGACTTCATTGATCAATCACCGTTGCTTTCAAGCGGAGATGAAAACGAAGGAAGCAGCAGAGGAGGAGGAGGATCTTCCGTGAGATCCGTGAGGAGACAAGGATTGAGAGAAGCAGCGAGGTTTCTATCCCGCGCAAGCAGCGGGCGTGCGATGCGTGAGCCGTCTATCGTTGTCAGAGAAGCAGCCGCGGAGCAGTTAGAGGAGAGACAGAGCGATTGGGCCTACTCGAGGCCCATAGTGGTGCTTGACATCGTGTGGAATTTGGCGTTTGTGTCTGTTGCTGTTGCTGTTTTGGTGATGAGTAGGGATGAACATCCGATTATGCCGCTTAGGGTTTGGATCTTTGGGTATGCGTTGCAGTGTGTGTTGCATATGGTTTGTGTTTGGGTTGAGTTTAGGAGGAGGGATAGGATGAGGACTAATAGGAGGAGGATGGCGTCACGTTCTTCTTCTTCGTCTTCTTCTTCTATGGAGGAAGATGCTTTGGTTTCGAGGAGGAATTCAGATGAGCAGCTTGAGAGCGAAAGTAGCAGGTGTGTGAGCATGCTTTGGCTTGGTAGTCTTTTAAAAGATGAGGCTTTTGTTGCGTTTAGATTGTGTTTTTTATTAGCTTGTGAAGAAAGGATTTGATTTGATACTTAGAAGATAGAGTTTTAGTTTGGGTGATCAAATGGCTTTGTTTACTTATATGATCTTCACCTTGTAGAAAGAAAGTTTTTATCTTTTCTGTTCGTTGATGCATGTTGCAATCTAATTTGGATTAAATGCAACTTGTGGAGGTCACTACGTATTAGATAGTTACACCTTCAATTTTGTTGCACTTAAGTTATGGTTTTGACTGGATGGTGAAGAAATGATTTGATGTGATACTTATCATTTAGATGATAGAGTTTTGGTTTGGATGATCAAATGGCTTGCTTACTTTTATGATGTTCCCAATGTTGTTGTAGTTCCTAGCTAAAGCTTTAGTCGCAGCTTTTAGAAAAAGCGTCTATCTTTTCTGTTCCTTGATGCATGTTGCAATCTAATTTGGATTAAATGCAACTTGTGGAAGTCACTACGTATTAGATAGTTACAACTTACAATAGATTTACTTCTTTCTTGCGACAGAAAATAAGGAAATCATACACTGAGTGAGCATGTTCGTGTATCCAAAAAGGTCTCTGATTGTTTTCTTATATTACTTACTGTTTCAAAAGCAGTGTTGCGAAGCATCTGGAATCTGCCAACACAATGTTCTCGTTTATTTGGTGGATCATTGGGTTCTACTGGGTATCTGCTGGTGGTCAACAGTTGGCGCAAGAATCCCCACGGATTTACTGGTTTCTTCTTTCTTCCATCTCTTATATTTTAGTAAGTCTATTTCGCCTTTAGTGTGTCTGAATGCCTTGGCTTCTTTCAGGTTGTCTATCGTCTTTCTAGGTTTCGATGTGTTCTTTGTTGTCTTCTGTGTTGCGTTGGCCTGCGTTATTGGCATTGCTGTTTGCTGTTGCCTGCCTTGCATCATTGCAATTTTGTACGCTGTTGCAGATCAGGTAACTCTCATGACCAATTCAGCGTGTATCCTAAGTCCGCAACTTCGTGCTATTTGGTTTAACACGAGAAGATGAAAAACAGGAAGGGGCGTCAAAAGAAGACATTGAGCAACTCACCAAATTCAAGTTTCGAAAAGTTGGTGGTGTCAGCAAACACACCGGTGATGAAGCCCAAGCAAATACCGAGGGAATAATGACAGAGTGTGGTACAGATTCACCCGTTGAACATACCATTCTGCAGGAGGATGCAGTAAGTGTAGACTACAACACACACTTCACTCCTGTCATCTAAATTATCATGCTTCCTGATTATTACTGTTCTGCGTTATAGGAATGTTGCATCTGTCTCTCTGCATATGAAGACGGAACCGAACTAAGGGAACTTCCTTGTGGCCATCATTTCCACTGCTCATGCGTAGACAAATGGCTATACATAAACGCCACTTGCCCACTCTGCAAATACAACATCCTCAAGAGCAGCAACTTGGATCGTGAAGAAGTCTAGAAGAAACAGCTTTGCATATTCATGACCCCGAGTTGGCGTCCAAAGGTAAAAAAAGACGACAGAGATAGAATTCATTGTTTGTGGTTTGCTGTCTATACAAATTATTGTACTTTTGTTTGTTTTTATATTGAATTTTTTTTTGGTTTGTACATGTATATCTATCTATCTTCTGTCACATACAACCACTCTTTTGTATTACCTCCCTGTATCATGGATCTTTCATCATGTGGAGATTGGCCATTGAAGATTTTGATACTTGAGTTTTTAAAGGTTCTCGAGGGCCAAGTCCAGTTTGGTTGATGATCAAAGAACTTTTGATGATTAATTCTGATGTTACCATCGCCTCGAGCTCAACTTGAATTTTTCTTTGGATGAAATGGTCTGAACTGAAACTGATCCAATAAAGCAAGTTGATACGCTGTTTCGTTAGCATTAGGGCTGGGAAAATCAAGATCTTAAATTTGATTGAATTCGGTAAATAAGCGAATGGGTCCTATATTGCTATTTTGGTTATTTCTAGGTAATATAGGTAAGTTGGATGTAAATATCCGAATCAAATCAGATAATATACAGTTATTTTGAGTACAAATAACCAAAATTGTTTCAGATACTTTGATTATTTGATTATGTTTAGGTGTCTATATATCATACTCGAACCCATCCGGACCGGGAGGATCCAAGCTTTGAGATCTGTAACATACTCGTTTCATGGAGACAGGTACTCTGACCTCTTTGTTCCACGGCCGACACGAGTTCTTCTTGTCTTGCTGCGAAAGAAACTTGTCTAGTCTCAGCAGCAGTGATAGAAACCTCTCTTACAGAGAGATATTGAGACGTGGGATTGGAGAGATATCAAGAGAGTGTAAAGATTGAAAGCGATATCTGAACTGGTTCTCTCTTATTGCTTAACTTGAAACAACGTAGAAGACAAAGTATTTAAAGACACACGAGACTTCCTAAACTCTAGGAACAGAATAACAACTACTAGTCAGTTTCCTACAAGTCAGGAACTGATTATTGACTCAGAAAACAACTTAAGAAGATCACTAAAAAATCGCATNTTATTGCTTAACTTGAAACAACGTAGAAGACAAAGTATTTAAAGACACACGAGACTTCCTAAACTCTAGGAACAGAATAACAACTACTAGTCAGTTTCCTACAAGTCAGGAACTGATTATTGACTCAGAAAACAACTTAAGAAGATCACTAAAAAATCGCATAACTCAATAACTTGTTGACCAAGCAACTTATTCTTCAATCCCTCCCCTAAACTGGAACATCTCCTCTCCAGTTTATTCTTCCTTCAAGCCAACTCCCATTCTCGATCTCAACTTCTCAAACACTTCTAGCTTCACTGCCTTCGTCATGATATCAGACAACTGTTCTTGTGTAGGACAATACTCCAAACTGATTATACCTTCATTCACTAGTTCACGCAAGAATTGGAACCTTACATGAATGTGTTTACTCCTCCCATGTAGCACCAAGTTCTTTGATAGCTTGATTGTAGAACTGTTGTCACACATAAGAACCGTACCATGTTCCTGATCAACACCGATTTCTTCAAGTATGTTTCTAAGCCACACAGCTTGACAGGCTCCATACGCAGCTGAAACGTACTCAGCTTCAGTGGTAGAGAGAGTGACGATGGGTTGCTTCTTGGATGCCCACGAGACTGCACCGTTTCCTAGCATGAACGTGTAACCCGACGTACTTCTTCTATCATCAACGTCCCCAGCATAGTCACTGTCCACATACCCTAACAGCTTCTCTTCCTCTCCACAGCCGTATTGAATCCCAAACTCAGAAGTGCCTTGCACATACCTCAGTATCCTCTTTACTGCCAACATGTGTTGTTCACACGGTTTCTCCATGTATCTGCTAACTAGGTTAACAGAGTATATAAGATCAGGTCGTGTTGCTGTTAAGTACCTTAGGCTGCCCACCAATTGCTTGAACGATGTGGAATCCACCTCTGTTCCAGCTCCTTCCTTTGACATCTTAGTACCCGGAACAATTGGGTTTAGAACTTGGTTGCAGCTTTCCATCCCAAACTTCTTCAAAATTTCTTTTGCATACTTTCTCTGAGTAATAAAAATTCCAGACTTATCTTGAATTACTTCAACACCAAGAAAGTATCTCATCATACCTAGATCAGTCATTGAGAATTCCTCCTCCATAGAAGTCTTGAAATCCTTTAGTAAGATATCAGAATCACTCGTGTAGATGAGGTCGTCTACGTAAATACTGACGATCAGAATGCTGTTCTCCTTCCTTCTCGTGAACAATGTGTGCTCACAGTAGCATCGTTTGAATCCTTTGCTCACAAGATAACCTTCAATTCTGCTATACCAAGCTCTGGGGGCCTGTCTTAAACCATATAATGCCTTCCTGAGCTTGTATACCTTTCCACCATCTTCCTTAATCTCAAATCCCTTTGGCTGCTCCACATAAACATCCTCCTCTAGTTCTCCATGTAAAAAAGCACTTTTTACGTCAAGTTGAAGCACCTTCCACTTCCTTTGCGCAGCCACAGCAATTATGAGTCTGATTGTATCCCATCTAGCAACAGGAGCGAATACTTCATGGAAGTCAACTCCTTGAGTCTGATGAAACCCCTTTGCAACCAACCTAGCCTTGAACTTGTCTACTTCTCCTTTCTCATTGAGTTTGGTTTTGAAAACCCACTTCACCCCTATTACCTTGGCTTCCTTAGGCAGATCGACTAGTTCCCATGTGTAGTTGCCTTCTATGGATTTGATCTCAGCCTCCATCGCTTTCCTCCATTTTTCATGTTTAACAGCTTCTTCAAAACTCTCAGGATCCTCAAACTTCTCTGGATCTTCTTCAGGAACGTACAACAGCACCCAATCTTCTTCTTCTTCTTCTTCCATTATGAATAGGCCCTTTCCTTCGCACACATAGTCCTGCATCCAAGCCGGTCTTAGTACACTCCTACCGGCTCTGCTCTTGCTGGTGTTCGACTCTGCAGTTTCTCTCACACTGTCAGCCGGCTCCTCCTCTGTTTCACTGTTGTCTCCACCTTCTGTGTTAACAACCTGATCATTCTGTTCTCTTTCAGTGTTGTTTCGTAACTCTTCTTCTTCAGAGACCTCTATCAGCTTCTTTTCTTCGTTTTTCTCCTCCCAATCCCACGGCTTATCTTCATCAAACTTGACGTCTTTACTGATGATGATCCTCTTTGTGATTGGATTATAGAGTCTGTACGCCTTGGACTCTTTACTTACGCCAAATAACACACACCTGATGCTTTTTTCATCAAGCTTCGTCCTCCTTTCATACGGTATCAGGGCAAAACTTACACACCCAAACACCCGGAGGTGTTCCACTGAGGGTTTACGCTTACTCCATCTCTCCGAAGGTGTGACATCTCCTAAGATCGCAGTTGGGGATCTGTTGAGTATGTGGACAGCATACTGCACCGCTTCTGGCCAAAATCTCAGAGGAACATGCATCCCAAAGAGCATACATCTCACCATATCCATCAAAGTTCTGTTCTTTCTCTCAGCTATGCCGTTTTGTTGTGGGGTATAGGCAGTAGTGAGCTGTCTTTTGATTCCAACGTCTGAACAGAACTCTTGAAACACTTTGGAATTGTATTCTCCTCCTCTGTCAGTGCGAAGACATATAAGTTGTTCCCCTGCTTCTCTTTCAACAGCTACTTTGAAGTCTTTAAACACCTTGAATGCTTCTGATTTTTCTGTTAAGAAATATGTCCAGCATTTGCGACTGTAATCATCTATAAAGTTAATGATGTACCGTTTACCACTCTCTGAAATCGGTGAGATCGGTCCACAAATGTCGCTATGGATCAACTCAAGGACACGACTTGCCTTCCAGTCGCTCTTCTTCGGAATGTTTGTGTGAATTTGCTTTCCCCTCATGCAGACATCGCACACTGCACCTCCATCGCTTATCTTTGGTAAACCAACCACCATATTTTTCTCTGACAGTGTTGTTAACCCCTTTTGACTTAAGTGTCCAAATCTTTTGTGCCATATCTCCTCAACACTGGCCTCTGAGGTCTGCATCTGATTCACTTCTGTCTCTTTTGCCTCTTATACTGCAGCTTTGATTATGAACATTCTATTTGTTGACATCGTAGAATGCATAATCATCTTCTTCTGTTGTTTATGCCAAACTTCACATACATCATCTTCAATAGTTATCCTTAAGCCCTTTTGTTGTAATTGACCAACGCTCAAAAGATTGTTTCTTAGACCTGGAACGTAGTAAACTGAGGATATTACTTGAACCACACCATTGATCTCAAGTCGTAGATTACCTCTTCCTTCCACTTGCATCCTCCTATCGTCTCCAAGTCGCACTTGCTGCCTGAAGTGGGTGTCCAAGGTGATGAACCATTCCTTAACTCCACACATGTGGTTACTGCACCCTGAATCTAAGTACCACACATACTCAACTTCTTCAGAAATCTGAGCCATAAGCAGTATGTCTTCTTCAAGCTCCGCGTAATTGGCTGATCTCTCCCAAGTAGGACACTCATTTTTGTAATGACCCATCTTATGACATTTGAAGCATTCGATCCCGCTTTTGTCGAAGCTTCCACTCCCTCTTCCTCTGAGGCCTCCTCTGCCTCGGTTCTGAAATTGGCCACCTCTTCCTTGATAGTATCTACCTCTACCCCTTCCGTCTTCCATCCTCAAAGCGTGCTCCTCTCCTTCATGTTTACTCACGTTTTGTTCGTGTACCAAGAGGGAACTTTGAAGTTCATCAACTGTCATCTCCTTGATGTCCTTTGATTCTTCTATGGCACACACGATGTAGGTGAATTTGTCCACAAGAGTTCTGAGAATTTTTTCCACCACTTTTGCATCTGGCATATCTTCTCCTAAGTTCCTCATATCATTGGCGACCACCATAACCCGGGAGAAGTATTCCGTGATCGACTCACCTTCTTTCATCTCAAGGATTTCAAAGCTTCGACGTAACCTCTGTAACTGTGCACTCTGCACTCTCTTATTCCCTTGATACTTTGTCCTCATTGACTCCCATATATCTCTTGCGGTTTCCTTCTTTGCGATCGTTTTCAAGATCGTTTTATCAATTGAAGCAAAGAGATAATTCTTCACCTTGAGATCCTTGAGTTTCTGCTCAGCAATCTCCGTTCTCTGTGCTCCCGTTAGGATCACATTCCTCTCTGGTTGTGTAATCCCAGCCTCAATGAGCTCCCACCACTCCTTGGATCTCAACAAATTTTCCATGAGCATTGCCCAATGCTCATAGTCCCCATCAAACTTCGGTATGCTCAACAATGAATCTCTGTCACTCATCTCTCACTTTGTGTTTGTAAAAAGAGCAATGGCTCTGATACCACTTGTAAAGATTGAAAGCGATATCTGAACTGGTTCTCTCTTATTGCTTAACTTGAAACAACGTAGAAGACAAAGTATTTAAAGACACACGAGACTTCCTAAACTCTAGGAACAGAATAACAACTACTAGTCAGTTTCCTACAAGTCAGGAACTGATTATTGACTCAGAAAACAACTTAAGAAGATCACTAAAAAATCGCATNTTATTGCTTAACTTGAAACAACGTAGAAGACAAAGTATTTAAAGACACACGAGACTTCCTAAACTCTAGGAACAGAATAACAACTACTAGTCAGTTTCCTACAAGTCAGGAACTGATTATTGACTCAGAAAACAACTTAAGAAGATCACTAAAAAATCGCATAACTCAATAACTTGTTGACCAAGCAACTTATTCTTCAGAGAGACGATGCTGTTCATCTCTTCCAGTCCATGCTTCGGTCTCATCCCCTCCCTACCATTATAGATCTCAATAGACTGTTTACTTGTGTCGCCAAGACAAAACAGTACGAACTCGTGTTGTATCTCTGTAAAGAAATAGATATGAAGGGGGGGGGGGCGGGGAGATTTCATTTGACATCTACACTCTCAACATATTGATGAATTGCTTCTGCAGGCTCTCCGGAAACTCGGTTTAGCTTTTTCCGTGTTGAGCAAGATGTTGAAACTTGGGTATGAGCCTAACACAATCACGTTTTCAACTCTTGTAAACGGGTTATGTCTCCAAGGTAGAGTTTCAGAAGCTGTGGCAAATAATTCTCTCATATAGTAATACTTGAGTATTAAATGCCGATTTCAAATACTCTGGAGTATTATACTCGGGTTAATTTCAGACCCTTATTCCGGTTTGGTATAGACCGGTTATTGGGTCCGGTTGGGTCAGTTTAGAGCAGACTTTTTATTTTATTTTTTTATCTTGAAGCTAGTGAAGTGGAGAGAAAGTTTTGTTCTCCTCTTCTTGTTGCCTCGGCCACTTGCCTTAGCTTCTAGTCTCACAGAGATTATCTGTTGGTAACTTTTTGTCATCTAGAAGCTATAGTGTTTAAATTAACGTTAGCCATTTAGATTGCTATTCACGCCCACCAGGTGTTCGACGAATTGCCTTTTCAGTGTATCTGTGAATTCATATATTTTCTTTTTTAATAGTTGCTGTGTTAGTGTGAATTTTACGGATGATTTCATCCATCTGATGCGGATTCTATGTACTTTTGTAGGCTGTCCTGAGCGAATGCGGTTATAAAGAGGCTTTCTTTCTTGTTAACTAAGCACACACTAGTGACATGGCTGTAACACTTGATCAAACCAATTCCGGTATGCTTTAAACCGATCAAAATTGAACTGGTTTGGTCGACAAGTTGTTCGTCACTAGAGCTCGTGCCTTGGCTCTTTCGAAGTGAGTTCAGGTTTGAGTCTGGAACAAAGGATTTATTTAGGAGTTGAGATGGTGTTGATGATACGGAGTGCTAAAGCTTTGAGATATGTTCATCCTCGTTTCATGGAGACAGGTACTCTGACAACTGCTTTATTCAACAGCCGACAGGACTTCTTGTCTTGCTGCGAAAGACACTTCTCCTGTCTCAGCAGCGATAGAAAAAACCTCTCTTACAAAGATATATTGACAAGTGGGATTAGTGGTGGTATTAAGAAAGACGATGCTGTTCATCTCTTTCAGTCGATGCTTCGGTCTCATCCCCTCCCTACTGTCATTGATTTCAATAAACTGTTTACTGCCGTTGCCAAGACAAAACAGCACAACCTCGTGTTATCCCTCTCCAAGCAGATGGAATTCAAAGGTATTGCGTTTGACCTCTACACTCTCAACATAACGATGAATTGCTTCTGCCGTCTCCATAAACTCGGTTTAGCATTTTCCGTTTTGAGCAAGATCTTGAAACTTGGCTTTAACCCTAGCACAATCACGTTTTCAACTTTGGTAAACGGGTTATGTCTCCAAGGTAGAGTCTCTGAAGCTGTGGCACTAGTTGACCGTATGGTGGAAATGAAAGTTAGACCAGATCTCATCACGCTTACCACTCTTGTCAATGGACTCTGTCTCAAAGGTTATGTCTCTGAAGCAATGAGTTTAATTGATAGAATGGTGGAACACGGCTTCAAACCCGATGGAGTTACCTACGGAACGGTTTTAAATAGAATGTGCAAGTCAGGGCAAACTTCCATGGCCTTGGATTTGCTCAGGAAGATCAGGCTAGATGTAGTCCACTACAGTATCATCATTGATAGTCTCTGCAAAGAAGGGAACTATGATGATGCGCTCAGCCTTTTCAGTGAAATGGAAACGAAAGGTATCAAAGCAAATGTTACTACTTACAACATTCTCATAGGCAGCTTCTGTAAAGCTGGAAGATGGGATGATGGTGCAGAGTTGTTGAGGGATATGATCACAAGAAAAATCACCCCTGACGTCATTACTTTCAATGCATTGATCGATTGTCTTGTGAAAGAGAGAAAACTTAAGGAGGCTAAGGAATTGTACAATGAGATGATCACAAGGGGGATAGATCCTGATACCTTTACATATAACTCTTTGATAGATGGTTTGTGCATTGAAAACCGCTTAGATGAAGCCAACCAGATGATGGATGTGATGGTTAGCAAGGGATGTGATCCTGATATAGTGACGTTTAATATTCTCATTAATGGATACTGTAAGGCTAAACTTGTTGACGAGGGGATGAAGATATTCCGTGAGATTTCTCTGAGAGGGTTGGTTGCTGATACAGTCACGTATAGCACACTTGTTCAAGGGTTTTGTGAAGTGGGAGAACTCGACGTTGCTAAACAAATCTTCCAAGAGATGGTTTCTCGAGGTGTTCATCCTAATATTATCACGTACCGTATTTTGCTGGATGGGTTGTGTGACAATGGAGAAGTAAAAGAAGCATTGGGAATACTCGATAAAATGCACAAGTGTAAGACTGATGTTGATATTGTTATATATAATATCATCATTCAGGGGATGTGCAATGCAAGGAGAGTCGATGATGCTTGGGAGTTATTCTCTAGCCTCAAAGGAGTGAAGCCTGATGTTAAAACGTACAATATAATGATCTCAGGACTATGTAAGAAAGGGTCATTGTCTGAAGCGGATATGTTGTTTAAAAAGATGGGAGAGGAAGATGGGATTGAGCCTAATGACTTTACATACAACACACTTATCAGAGCACATCTCCGAAGCAACGATGTAGCCACTTCAGTTGAGCTCATTGAAGAAATGAAGAGGTGTGGATTCTCTGCAGATGCTTCCACCATGAAGATGGTTATTGATATGTTATCTGATGGTAGATTAAACAAAAGCTTTTTGGATATGCTTTCTTGAAATTCCAGCAATTTAATCTTTTATCTATGAGAAAAGTCTTGTTCAGTGTTGTATGATGCTAATTATTAGTACTGATCAGTGATTTAGAATGATTATGAAAATGTTGAGAGAGAACACTATCAAAAAACCATAAATCATGTAACGGTATATTCCGGTTTGTTTTAAACCGGATATTGAGTCCGGTTATAGCATATAACCTTTTTTTTTTATCTATCTAATAACTAGAGACTTCCTCCTTGCAGAGACAAAAGGTTTGTGTTTTCCTCTTCTTCAACTGCCTTAGCGTCTCGTGGTGAACATTTAAAAAAAGGTACCTTTCTTTAGTTTTGTATACTTTGTTCTAAAGCTACAATCTTTTGTCGGTACCTTGCTTATAGTGTTTGAATTTTTGTTAGCCATTTAGATTGCTTCAGAGTTTTTTTTTTTTGCTGGGATGTGAGTCTGGAGCTAGTGTTTGTATGATTTTACAGGATTCTCTTGGTCTATTGTCGATGCTGCCTAGAAAAAAAAATGTTTATTTGGTGATGATGCATTTTCATGCCTGCCAGGTGTTCGATGAATTGCCTCATTGGTTCCTTGCCTTTTTTTCTTCTTCTTATGATATCTCATTCGATTTGAACTAGTATGCTAGATGTAGAATAGGTTTACAGTTTGTCTTTTATTTCAGTCTTTTCAGTGTATCTATGAATTCTTTTTTTTTTTTAATTGATGTTTAATCTGAATTTCACATATGATTTTATCTATTGTGTAGGCTGTTCTGAGCAAATGCTGTAATATAAAGGCTTACTTTCTTGTTAGTTACGCACACACGAGTGACATGGCAGCATCAGTTTCAACTCGATTCCTTGTTCTTCTCCAAGATTTTTCAGCCTTCAGAAAGATATCATGGCGTTCTGCGGCAGCTAACTACCACCGCCAATCACGTCTTTTATGCCATGTTGCGAAAGAAGATGGTTCTCTTACTCTTGCAAGCCTTGAACTAGGGAACAACAGCCCAAGGAGATCAGGGAAGAGTAAGGCGATGAAGCTTGAGGGAAGAAGCTTTGTTTCTGAGATGAGTCAAGGTAAGGTAAGAGGAGCAATAAATGATAAAATGAAAGTAGTGAAGGAGAAGAAACCAGCTGAGATAGTGTCTCCTTTGTTTTCTGCAAAGTCATTTGAGGAGCTTGGCCTCCCGAATTCGTTGCTAGACAGTTTGGAAAGAGAAGGTTTCTCTGTCCCAACGGATGTCCAATCAGCAGCTGTACCAGCAATAATCAAAGGTCATGATGCAGTGATTCAGTCTTACACAGGATCCGGCAAAACCCTAGCTTATCTGCTTCCAATACTATCAGAGATTGGTCCACTATCAGGAAAAGCTAAGAGCAGTGAGAAGAGAGCAGAGATCCAAGCAATGATCGTGGCTCCATCTCGAGAACTCGGTATGCAGATAGTAAGAGAGGTGGAGAAACTCCTCGGACCTGATCACCGTAGGATGGTTCAGCAGTTGGTAGGTGGTGCTAACCGGATGAGGCAAGAAGAGGCGCTTAAGAAGAACAAACCGGCTATAGTCGTTGGCACTCCGGGAAGAATTGCAGAGATAAGCAAAAGTGGGAGGTTGCACACTCATGGGTGTAGATTCTTGGTGCTAGATGAAGTCGATGAGCTTTTATCTTTTAACTTCCGAGAAGATATCCATAGGATTATTGAACATGTAGGAAGAAGAGCTGGGGCTGGTCCAAAAGGAGAAGTTGATGAACGTGCTAACCGACAGACAATTCTAGTCTCTGCAACTGTGCCCTTCTCGGTTATTCGTGCAGCTAAGAGCTGGAGTCACGAGCCTGTTCTTGTCCAAGCCAACAAAATCACTCCTCTTGACACCGTTCAACCAACAGCACCGGCAATTAGCTTAACCCCCACAACTTCTGAGGCTAACGGCCAGATTCAGACAACTATCCAGAGCTTACCTCCAGCGCTAAAACATTTTTACTGCATCTCAAAACATCAACACAAAGTCGACGCCCTAAGGAGATGTGTTCACGCGCTTGAAGCCCAGTCCGTTATAGCTTTCATGAACCACTCAAAGCAGCTCAAAGACGTGGTCTACAAACTTGAAGCTCGTGGTATGAGCTGCGCTGAGCTGCATGGAGATCTAGGGAAGCTAGGGAGGTCAACGGTTCTAAAGAAGTTCAAGAACGGGGAAGTCAGAGTGCTTGTGACTAACGAGCTCTCGGCTCGGGGTCTTGATGTTGCGGAATGTGATCTAGTGGTGAATCTTGAACTTCCAACAGATGCGGTGCACTACGCACATAGGGCTGGGAGGACGGGTAGGCTGGGAAGGAAAGGGACGGTGGTTACAGTGTGTGAGGAATCACAAGTGTTTATTGTGAAGAAGATGGAGAAGCAGCTTGGTTTGCCTTTTGAGTATTGTGAGTTTGTTGATGGAGAGCTTGTTGTTACTGAGGAAGAGAAAGCTATTATAAGGTAAAAGAAACTCAAGAAATGTAATTTACTCTTGCTTTCTCTAGTTTTCATATAACTTTTATAACCTAATCAAACTCAGTGTCTTGTCTTTTTATATAATTTTTTTAATCTTATATCATAAACATAAAACATATCTGCATTGAGGCATGTTTTGATGTTGCTCTCAAGTTAGAAAACTTTGATGCTAAACGACATCGTTCTTTAAGATTGAACCGGTTTTGAGTGAAGAAATTGAACCGTATTGTCGTCTCTCCCTCAAACGCAGAACCATCTTCGTACGTGCCTCTGAGAAAAGGAAAGATTCATCTGAGGAAGACATGATGGCACTGATGATGCGGAGGAGATCTATTCCTCTTCATCTTCGTTTCATGGAGACAGGTACTGCTTTATTAAACAGCCGACACGAGTTCTTGTCTTGCTGCAAAAGAGACTTTTCTTGTCTGAGCAGCAACAGAAGCCTATCTTACAAAGAGATTTTGAAAAGAGGGATTGTTGATATCAACAAAGAAGATGCTGTGGAGCTCTTCCAATCCATGATCTGGTCTCGTCCCCTTCCTAGCATCATAGATTTCAGTAGATTGTTTAGTGCCGTCGCCAAGACAAGACAGTACGAACTCGTGTTGTCTCTCTGCAAACAAATGGAGATGAAGGGGGTTTCATTTGACCTCTACACTCTTACCATAATGATCAATTGCTTCTGCCGTTGCAGGAAACTGGGTTTTGCTTTTTCTGTGATGGGAAAGATGTTGAAACTTGGGTATGAGCCTAACACAATCACGTTTTCAACTTTGGTAAACGGGTTTTGTCTCCAAGGTAGAGTCTCAGAAGCTGTGGGATTAGTTGATAGAATGGTGGAAATGAAAGTTAGACCAAATGTTATAACGCTTACGTCTCTTGTCAACGGACTTTGTCTCAAAGGTTACGTCTCTGAAGCAATGGGTTTGATAGATAGAATGGTGGAACATGGCTGCCAACCAAATGCAGTTACTTATGGACCAGTTTTAAATAGAATGTGCAAGTCAGGGCAAACTTCCATGGCCTTGGATTTGCTCAGAAAGATGGAAGAAAGGAAGATCAAGCTGGATGCTGTCAAATACAATATCATCATCGATAGTCTTTGCAAAGATGGGGGCCTTGAAGATGCGCTTAGACTTTTCAATGAAATGGAAACGAAAGGGATCAAAGCAATTGTTAGTACCTACAACACACTCATAGGAGGGTTTTGTAATGCCGGAAGATCGGGTGAGGCTGCACAGTTGATGAGAGATATGATCACAAGGGGAATCACACCCAATGTCATCACATTCGGTGCATTGATTGACATTTTTGTGAAAGAGGGAAAGCATGTTGAGGCTAAAGACTTGTACGATGAGATGGTGGAAAGAGGTATAGATCCTGATACCATTACATATACTTCTTTGATATATGGTTTGTGCATGGAGAGTCGCCTAGACGAGGCTAAGAAGATGCTGGATCTGATGGTTAGCAAGGGATGTGAACCGAATATAGTTACTTATGGCACTTTGATAAACGGATATTGTAAGGCTAGACGGGTTGATGATGGTATGAAACTTTTCCGTGAGGTTTCTTTAAGAGGGTTTGTTGCTGATACAGTCATATATAGCACTCTCATCCAAGGGTTTTGTCAGTCGGGTGAACTTAATGCCGCCAAAGAACTCTTCCAAGAGATGGTTTCTATTGGTGTGGAACCCAGTGTTGTGACTTATGGTATTTTGCTGGATGGGTTGTGTGGCAATGGAGAACTAGAAGAGGCTTTAGAAATACTCGATAAGATGCACAAGAGTAAGATAGATCCTGGTATTGGGATCTATAATATCATCATTCACGGGATGTGCAATGCAAGGAGAGTCGATGATGCTTGGGAGTTATTCTCTAGCCTCCTCCCTCTCAAAGGAGTGAAGCCTGATGTCATAACATGCAATATAATGATTGCAGGACTATGTAAGAAAGGGTCACTGTCTGAAGCGGATATGTTGTTCAAAAAGATGGGAGAGGTGGATGGGATTGCGCCAAATGAGTGTACATACAACACACTGATCCGAGCTCATCTAGGAGGTAGTGGTGTTGTCACTTCGGTTGAACTTATAGAAGAAATGAAGAGGTGTGGGTTCTCTGCAGATGCTTCCACCATGAAGATGGTTATTGATATGTTATCTGATGGTAGATTGAACAAAAGCTTTTTGAATATGCTTTCTGGTGGTTCTATTTGATACAATATTTTTATCGTTGGATTGTAACGATCCATAGAATGCATATCCATCAATAGAATCATCAACTAGCTATTTTATTATTGGAAGTAACAGATTCGTTCAATACATGGAAGGTAAAGTAAACTATATGAAGTTTATGTAACACTTTTCTTTGTATATATTGAGTGATTAGAGAAAAGAGTGAGAGTTCAAGGCTTCTTCTGGTAACCCCATGGATTGTTGTTTGCCCAATTCCACTGATCTCTGCACATCTCATCCACACCATACTTTGCCCTACCAACAATTTAAACCATATCATATCACTTAACCAACTGTTTAAAAGGCTAAAACCAAATGGGTTAATGGTTAAAGAGAGTTGGAACTTACTTCCAGCCAAGTTCTTTCTCAGCTTTCTCTGTTGAAGCATAAACTTCAGTTGCATCTCCTGGCCTTCTCGCACAGAGCTTGATAGGTATTTTCTGCAAATTGGTTTCAACCATTGTGTTAGCACAAAAACAACATTCCAGAGATATTTCTAATTCCACTCAGCTCTGTGTGTTGTTACCTTGCCAGAAGCTTTCTCAAAAGCAGTAACCATCTCTAACACAGACGTTCCTCTTCCAGTCCCTAGATTGTAAGCAGTACAGCCTAATAATCACAACAAAACATGTCTGAGCAAGTATCCATCAAAACAAAACTCAACAGTGAAGTTTCTGAGATAGTGTTTTACCAATCTTGGGATCATCAAATAGCTTCCTTAGCGCAGCGATATGTCCATCTGCCAAATCCATCACATGGATGTAGTCCCTCACCTGTTTCCAAAACATACTTTCTAAAATCTGAACCAAAACTGAATGCAATAATTTTGAGATGAGACTGGTGTTTACCGCACTACCATCCTTGGTAGGATAGTCAGTTCCATAGACGTTAAGTTCAGGTAGACGTCCAACAGCAACTTGTTGTATGTAAGGCATGAGGTTATTTGGGATTCCCTTTGGATCCTCTCCAATTCTGCCACTCTCGTGTGCTCCCACAGGGTTGAAGTACCTCAACAGCACAATCCTCCACTCTGATTCTGCCCTCTGGATATCTTTAGCTATCTCTTCAAGAAAGAGCTGTGCACAAGAGAGATAGGTTGTTACTTACCACAACTTCAGAAACTCACAAGTGTAAAGCTTTTCTTTACCTTAGTACGACCATAAGGATTCATAGCCTTTAACTCAAAGTCTTCCATGCATGGAATCTTCTCAGGTTGTCCATACACAGTCGCAGATGATGAAAACACCATCTGTGTATTACAACAACACTCCAATGTAAACAAACGAACAACAAGGAAAGTAAAAGATGAAAATTTTTAAAGCATTTTATGAAGGCTATAGTATCATATCTAACCATTTTGCAGTTGTACTTTGCCATGGTCTCATAAAGATTGATAGTTCCAACCAAGTTATTGTCAAAGTAGCGACGAGGGTTGACAACACTCTCACCCACAGCTTTCAGACCCGCGAAATGGATCACAGCATCAAACCTGTTACCCTCACAAGTAAACGAAATCAAAACCTTAAAGATCCAGCTAAGTTTCTATAACTCTACAGAATCTAAACAAGAACAATACCTCTGTTTGGAGAAGAGTTTCTCAATATCTCCTTTGTTTCTCAGATCACCCTGTAATCAATCAACACCCTCTTCAGTAAACAGCTACACATAGCAGAGAAAAGAGACGCAAGAAGACGTTTTTCAAGAACTTCCAAAACAGAGCAATTCATACACAGATACAATCACAAAGACAACACCTTTATGAGATCATAGAACAGAGCAATTCATACACAGATACAATCACAAAGACAACACCTTTATGAGATCAAAGAACAGAGCAAATCCCGTATAAACATACAAGTAAGAGAAGAAGCTTTTCAAGAATCCATTTTGCAAGGGAGCCAAGAAAACCACAGAACAGAGCAATTCATACTCAGATACAGAGCAACTACAGAGTAAACATATTTCACTCACAAAGACAACACCTTTATGTGATTATCTACGAAACAGAGAGTAGAAAGATTAGTAGTTACCTCAGTAAAGTCAAGCTTCTTGGAAAGATCAGGACCAACGAGCTCCCTAACCCTCTCAACAGCTTCGATAACAGAGTTATCAAGATTATCAATGATCGAAACCTTAAACCCTTCTTTCAAGAGTTGAACAACGGTATGCGTCCCGATGAATCCAGCACCGCCAGTGACAAGAATGCTCTGCTCCACAGACGAACCCATTTCGCAAGAACCCACTAGGAAAGATCGATTCTTTCTGCAAGTTTTAAAGTAACAGTTTTGGATAGAGATCACAGCTAAGAGAGAGAGAAGACACAAGAAAGTTGGGGTCTTTATTTAATGAAAGTTTGTAGCTTTTTTGCTGATGCAAGTTGATAAGAGCAAAGGGCACGCAACGCAAAGCGAAGATATGTATGAAGAGAGTGTTGTGGGCTCAAGAATGTCTTTGTTGGTTTCTATTTAAAGGCGGCAAAGAGTGATGATCCGTGTTGAAAGTTTGATGAGCTTTGATTCCTCAATTTTTTCAGTTACGTATTTGATCCTTCAATCTTGTCTTTTTCCATTTAAATAAATGGAAAAACTTATTGGGGAAATGAAAAAGATAAGTCTTTCTGTTGCAGTTTGTATTTTTATTCTATTTTTGTAACATGTGAAACCTACTGATAACCAAATCCATGAGAATAAGTTGTAGAAACAGAGGATATCTTCTTACGCGTTATTAGATTCATAGTAATGATGACACTAAAAGTTGGATAACAATGTTGACTAATCGACCATTGGTTGTTAAAATAATCCAATCAAACATTAATCTTGATAGATCTATGGTTCACTACTTTATTATACCTAAAAACGTTTTTTATAATTTAATTTGGTAGCTACTTTGACTGATTGCTTCGAACATTACATGTTAAGGTTTAGGTTTAGATGGATTGGAACAGAATATTACAGATACTCATGCAGAGCTACCAAAGTGAAGAAAGTGAGTTCCTTAACATATACTTGATTTTTTTTTTCAGTACCTACCTTATCACATCATAAAAACTTGAAAATTTTACATGAGAAATCATATGTTATTCTTGTACAGTTACTGTTTAAGTCTTTTGGGTGATACCACTTTGAAGAATGAAACAAAGTGGAATCACTCACTCTACTCTGTTGGTGTAAGACATGGTTGTAGATTTCATCTCTTCTTTGCTCAGTGATGCTTCAACAATTAGCTGCAATAAATAAACAGTCCCATTAAAGAAAAAAAATCATTCAAGATTCAATGAGATTTAGAACTTTCTTTACCTCTTGCACTCTGTTTCAAGCTCGTGCAAGCAGTTTGTATTGGTTCTCAAACATTGGTGCCATGGAGACCTTACACAGAAACATTATTCAAAACATTAACACTATCAAAAAGTTTACATTCTTTAAGGATTTTGTGTGCTACAATGCGATAAAACTGTGAAACTTTTGAGAAAAACCTGGATTCAAGAAGAAACGACCTTTTGAAACTGATTGAATTCCTTCAACCATTTCCAGCTCCTTGATCAGAGATTCCACATGAGGCCACTGCAGAAGAGTGCTATCAGAAACGTGTAAGATAATAGTTTGATCACATCGTCACATAGACCTTGAATACCTCGGAGTCAAGCTCTGCAGCCTAACCAATGGTCCAATGTTGATGTTCTTAGTCATTTCATGTGCATGTTTGGTTAGCTTGGCAACTTTAGAAAACAAAATTTGACACAATTGTCTTTTGTGTTGATCTTGTATGCATGTCCATCTCAAAAAACTTTTGCGCCCTTGACAAAATAACTATGTTTTTATATTTTTACAATAATTATGATAATTTAAAATATTTCGAATTTACTGATCTCAGTAGTCAGTTAGTGCGCTTTTTTATCTAATTTTTTAAAGAAAGTATGGACCATTTTCCAAAACTATTTATCTAATTTTTTAAGTCCCCCCCCGTCTTGCCACCCGTTAGAACCTGGCCTGCTTGTATGAAGCTCTAAAATCTCAGCCATACTTTTGTAATAACTTGAACCGTTATTGAGTCACTTCCAAAACCGTACCAATTTGGGTTCCCATAGTGGTCCGACCCAATAACAAAGCACATAAGAGCTATCAATATCTGATATAGGCCCAAGCTCAATATAAACGTGTGAACCACTATTAAATGACACGTGACTCTACTTATTAAAAACTCGAAAAAGACAGCTTTGAACACATCGACAAAAGTCCGTGAAACTGAAAAACCTTTTTAGTCTTGTTTTGTAATAATCTCAAAAAAAAAAAAATATCTCTGATTCGAAAAAAAAAGAGATGAGCTACGAGAAAGTTCCACCTGAATCGTATCCTCCTCCAGGTTCGTAATCACTTTTTACTTCTTATGATCCACTTCGATTCTATTATAATTCGATTCTCTGATCTGTTTTGAAAATTAGGATACCAATCTCATTATCCTCCTCCTGGTTATCCATCGGCGCCGCCGCCTCCGGGATATCCTCCGCCGCAACACGAAGGATATCCTCCACCGCAGCCTCACGGATATCCACCACCTCAGTCTCACGGATATCCACCGTATCCACCACCGCGTCCTTACGAAGGAGGTTATCAAGGCTACTTCGCCGGTAATTATCCTCCTCCTCCGCCGCCGCAACAGTGCAACCACTACCAGCAAGATCACCACCATTACCAGGATTCAAACTCTGATGGCTCTTCTTTCCTCCGTGGATGGTTCGTCTCTCTCTCTAACTTCCACTTTGTTATTTACTAAAATCACTTTCATTATTGTGTGTTGTGAACTGATTCGATTCTTTTGTCTTTTTGGTTTGGTCAATCTTTGGTGTCGGTATAAAGAATATGATTTTAGAATTTAGGCTTTAGGAGCTACGTTGTGTTGACTTGATTGATGTGTGACACTTTAGGAGCCTACGTGTTTGGTTTAAAGGTCACTCTCTAAAGTTGAATGTTTTGGGTTCATTGAACATGTGTTTTGGTCCAAATGATCCTGATTAGAACCAGATTCCTTTAGAGTTGTTGATGTATGGATAAGTCATTATGTGAGTTGAATTTAGACAATCTACTGTGAAAGTCACATCAGAGTTCGCAGTGATCTTTAGCTTTAGTGCTCTGTTGATCTTCTGAGGAAGGTTCTTGGCATATGCGATAGAGTTTAGGAAGGTTCTTGGCATATATATAGCTTGTGACACTCTCTAACTTAGATTTTGGACATGATTTTTCCACTCAATGATTCTAGTGAATCTTTGCCTAACTAAACTATTTGTGTAAATCTGTAAATAAGGTATATTCTTTGAAATTCTTAGTGTCCATGTCATCTACTATTTTTCTTATGCTCAACTTGAGTGTAAAAGACTTTATGATTGACTTAAAGATTGTTCCTTCTGCTTATTAATCCTCTCTTTTTTTTTCCTTTTATCCGCTGGGTTGCAAATTGCAGTCTTGCTGCTCTGTGCTGTTGCTGTCTGTTGGAGGAATGCTTCTGAGAATGCCCTTCCTTCTCTGCCCATCTCTTGGCAGTTACATAATATGTTAAATTAAATCCAAGACATGACATAACTCTTATGTCTTTATATACTGTGAATGTTTCATTGTCTGTAATGCATGTACCTCTTTGTTTGAGAGTGGAGTAAAATCCACAACATGGATCAGAAGAATCCTATGTATGTTCTTTGTAACTTGTCTGAATGATTTGAAAAACATTTACTTGGTTGATATATTTGATAAAAACAAAAACTCTGTATTAACACAATCAAAACAAGCAAGTACTAAGTAACTAAGAATAGTCTCAAAACACAGCTTCTTGTCTGAAACAAAGTTACATTGAAGAAAGAGCTAACTACCAACATAAGTGGGAGAAACTAAAGAATCGTGACACATGGTGGTGCATCTTTTCTAGTCCCAACCACAGTTCTGTAAAGATAAAGTCTATCAACCTTCTCTCTTTCATCTTCTTCATTCCTCTCCATCCTCCCATTCTCATTCTCATTAATAATCTCCACATTAAGCCACGGCGCATTCCTTGCAAGCCTCTTACATCCACCAAGCGTTACTTCACAAGACGACATCCAAAGGGATCGCATTGTTTCGTACTTACCAACATCAGCAAGAAGCGCAGCGTTCCCAAACGGACTGTCTCTTATCTCCAGCTTCCTCAGCTTTTTACACCCAGTCAACACATACAACATTCCTTTATCTGTATCCCCTGCAAAGGCTATTGAAAGCATCTCTAGCTGCTCTGCGTACATGCCTATGTAGAGGAAGACTTTGTCTGTTAAGAGACCGGAGACAGAGAGTCTTCTTAAGTCTTTGCAAGCTTGTACTATTGCACCAAAGCCTTCGTCTAGTGATTGAGATGTGATGTGGTCTGGTTTGTTTGGCTCTAGGATGCATAGCCTGAACCGGATGAAGTTTGGACAGTTTTTCGCCACGGTGATGAGCGCTTCGTTTGTCATTTGTTTGCAGAAGTAGAGAATGGAATGAAGTTTAGGACAACCAGCTGAGATTGCGACCAGTCCAATCTCAGTTACAGCTGTGTTGTTGTCTTCTTCATCGTGTAAATCAGAAGGGAACACTCTCAGCTCTTGTAACTCTTTACATGAAGAAGCAACAACCTCAAGTCCTTTGTCTCCAATACTATCCAATATCTGTATGAACAAACCATGAGTTGTTTGGTTAGCAAGTTAGTTAGTGTCTTTGTTAGGACAATGAAAAGAGACAAAACTTACCCATAACCGTTGAAGTCTCTTACAAAACTGAACAAACTCTATAAGATGGTTGCCTTGTAACTCAGCAGCATAGCTGAGATTCAAGTAGGTAAGGCTTTCACAAATCGGATAAAACGCCGTGAGACAAACCGGAGCAACGTCTGAGAAGCCAGACAAGCTCCTCAACAAAGTGCATTTCTTTATAGCAGCCATAAGCTTCTCAAAAGACTCTGCTTCTGGCTCATTCTCATAACACCCTACTCCTAACTCAACTAACTGCGGCGCACAGCTCATTAGCCTCGTCAATGCATCAAGAGGCACTGCACGGTTCACCTTCAAGCTCTTCAGATTCGGTGACCTTGCAACAAGTCTCTCCAACGCAGAGAGATTAGTTTCTCCTCTAAGACAAGCGAAGTTCAACGAGACAAGAGTTGTACAGCTGTCTGGAAAACAGTTTAGCCATTGACCTCTGTGATCATCTATCTCATTCTCTTGCAAGTCCAGCTCACGAAGATTCCTAACAACACATTAATGTTACAAACCCAAAGGCTAAAAGTGTAAAACTTTATATACTTTTTCTTTACCTGCAATTAGCAGCAACGGAGGCTAAGCCATCAGTAGTAAACCCATCACAGCTAACAAGAACCAAAGACTTGAAATTCACAAAGGAACGTGAAAGAAGCTCGAGGCTTTCGTCAGAGACAACCATCCTCTTCAACCTAAGCTCCTCGAGATTTACACGTGCCTTAGCTAAAGCATCGATCCAAGGGTGGAGGAAGCCTCCCCATTCATGAGGAACTAAGTTGAAGTCAGCGAAGTGAGGCTTTCCCTTGAGAGTTAAAGATCTGAGACAGGGGAATCTTCTGATTAGTCTCTCGGGGCTGATTGCGTAGCAGTTTCCGATAAATACTTGATGTCTGCTATATCTCTCGATCTTGTGCCATGATTTGTTGACGAGAGAGATTGAGTTTCTGTCTCTGTGAGATGGTATGAAGTCGAAAATGTGCTCGATTACTTCGTCGGGGAAGTAATTCATCTCCGAGGTAGATGGACGAAGCTTGATTGCTCTGTTCATTTACTAAAAAAGGAAGAGACTTTGAGTTTGAGAAACAGAGGAGGTAAGATCAAAAACAGAGAGCTCTGTTTATTCACTGGAAAAGAAGAGACTTTGAGTTTGAGAAACAGAGGAGCTAAGCTCAAGAAACAGAGAGCTCTGTTCATTCACTGGAAAGGAAGAGACTTTGAGTTTGAGAAACAGAGGAGCTAAGCTTAAGAACAGAAAGCTCTGTTCATTCACTATAAAGGAAGAGACTTTGAGATTGGGAAACAGAGAGCTCTGTTCATTCACTGTAAAGGAAGAGACTTTGGGTTTGAGAAACAGAGGAGCTAAGATCAAAAACAGAGAGCTCTGTTAATTCACTATAAAGGAAGAGACTTTGAGTTTGAGAAACAGAGAAGCTAAGCTCAAGAAACAGAGGGGTTAATGAAAGTCTCGAGCTTGGTGAAGAGAGATGAATGGGTCCACGAGATCTTCGACTCTATAACAACACTGAAGCTTTAGATTCAGATCTAAGCTAGATCTACGAAGAACAAGCTGGAGAAGTGAAAAAAAAATCAGAGGAAAACGTTGAAAATTATGAATCGAATTTAGGGATAAGCTCTGAACTGCTGCTTCAAGTCCAATGATGATGAGATGATCAAGAGAGAGAGAGAGAGAAGAAAGATCACGCAAGCAAAGCAAAGCAAAGCAACTCTCTTTCTTTCTCTGTGGAAATAAAAACAGAGGAAAAAAAAAGGCTAACCAAGCTGACCAAAAACTTAACCGTGGTTAAGTTTAAGATTATGAGATAGGGTGGAAGATCCAACGGTGGAGATTGGTTTGACGGATAGCCACAAAAGGAATCTTGACCGTTGGAAGAGTTGTATGGTGTGCATGTGTTTAACACCACTGGTTTGACGAGAGTCCTTTCGACAAAGAGAAAGGCTGATGAAGTGATGTATTAGTGTCAGAGCAAGGGACATTTTTATAAAGCCCTTTCATTTTTCATGTTATTACGATATTGCCACGTAAAGTTTCACGGCCAATAGGAGCGAAAATAATATTCTTATTCTATACTCGCTATAATCAAAATTCGCTTGCTCAATTGATTAATTAGTGATAAATCAAAAGATTCAATGGTTTTGATTTGTTAGGTAATCTTTCACGGTTGTTAGAAAGTGCAACAATTAGTATATAAATAAAATCAATCGTACAGTCGTACTGCATCAAAGCATATGTTATTACCGTTTTAAACACGTCACATGTATGTAAGCGTATAAATTAGATAATTAATCAAATAAAGTTTCATTGTGAATAAATCAAATATATATATGGGATAAACAAGAAAAGGAGTAGAAGATGGAGGACACCACCATTGATGGATTTACGGAATTAGAAGGTCATGCATGACATTTGATTTTCTCTCTTTCACTAGTTTTTGTTTAGTACTATTACTATATTATTATTATACCAAAAAACACATCCAAAAGCTAATAAAACTCCCATCTTTTTCAAAAGAAGGTGGTTATGTGTAGGGTTTCTATCTCGATAAATGCACAACTCTTTTGGTACAAATTCAAAAATCATAATCTAGTGTTCAACCAATTTCAAGATTTAAGTAGTCGTTTATTCTTAAAAACTCAACTGAAAGTGAATTGACACAGCTGTAAAAAATGTGTTTCTTTTGATTTAGTAGATATTACAATATTTTAAACTAAGTCACTAGTACTTATATTAGTTTGTAGATATATTTCCCAAAAGTCCAATGTGTTATAGATCCGGAAGAAATGGACAAAATCTCAAGACAACAACCATTGAGAAACATATGAAAGGAACAAACAAAAAAGAAAGTGACATAGGCTTCTTAATCAACCTCAATAATAGACCCACTTGCAAATTATTACATCTAGATATAGGGGTAAAAATGAAGACTACACAAACCAAATTATGATTACTGGTTGAATAAGTGTTATTTCTCTTTGCTTAACTAATGTTCAAAATGATGATAACTATGAGTTCCCTATTAATTATTGGTAAGTAATTAGGACCAATCTATACACATAATATCAACTAGCTACCCGTCGTAATCCTCCGAGGATTGGCTAAGTTTCATTCAATTACCTTAGCCTAGTCTATTTTCCATCACCGACAAAATATACTACTGTATAAATCCCTACTTGTAATAGACTTGTCTTTATACATAGTTCATAACTCATAAATCCCTACTTATCTTTATACATATGATAGACTTGTCTTCATAGTTCATAAAAAAAAAGTTAAGCCGTTAACTAGATACCATATTGTGGGTCAATGTTTATATTTACTGTGTGTAAAGGGGAGGAGTGATGATTTCACCTCTCTTGGCCCATCATATGCTACAATGGCTGCCATGTGAAGGCCACCTATCTCTCTCTCTTTATCTCATCACTTTTTAGTAATCATCCCCATTTTCACCATCGATCAAAAATTTCACCAGCTAGTGTGGTTAAAGTCGACTAAGATAATGCCTGAAATTATTGGTTTATTACTGTACAACCAACCTCCATATCACCTTAGTTAATGCGGGTTAATTATCTTAGGTAATGTGGGTAAATTATCTGGTAAATTCAGATGTGGATGCGACTCCAGGTTTTAAATACAAAATTTAGTTATTCCCGAAAATTTAAATATCAGAAATATAAAACTACAGTATAGTCTCTATCATTGGTAAAAGTTTTTGTATTTTGTTCATCTAGAATTCTTATCTCTTTCTTCTTTTCTCAGCTTTTTGTTGGTTCATGAGATTCTTTTTCCTTTTATCTTATGAAGCCGAAGGCCCAAAAAAGTGGAGACTCATGATGACGCATGTCCCAATTATTCATACACATTCAAAACGACATTACACATATATATCTATACTAACCTAACCACACACATCCATAATAAACATTGGTTTATAAACATACATATTTACGCATGAATCTCCCAAGATGAGATTCTGAAAGGAACCCATTTCAGTTCTCATTGTCTCAGCCTAGTGGTCCAGTTCTCTCTTTTATTATGTGCATTAAAAACATAAAAGATATGATGATATTCTCCTGACAAAGATCTGTAACTCCTATAATTGAACTATGCGAATCTATATTATAGAACACTTTAACCCCCTCAGAGATATTCGCTGAAACAAACACAGATCTGTTTGATAAGCTTTTAACTTTAAAAGTTGACATTATTAGAGAAGCAGTCACAAGAAACTAAACATCTAAGAACGATGAACACTGCAATCAAAGAACCAACTTTATCATTCCTTAAAATCCTATGTGTTGTATAATTCTTCTGACTATGATTAAAGATGGAATTCTTTTAAAAGTTTCTATCTTAACTCAAAATGAAAGAACATTGCCAACATAATGATCTTGATCATTTCTAGTACAGTCCCATAATCTCTCTAACTCTAACTAGGTTAGCTTTAACCCAATCCCATCTCTCTCTCTCTACCTTATTAGGAGAATACGACTTGGGTTACGTTTCATTCAACCAAAAAGGAACACAAACTACTCTATTCGATGACTCACTATCATTTTCTACCTCATGAATTGATCACTTCAATACATGAGATTATAGATACTTGATGAATTCTCGAACTTCAATGCATATGATGTTACATATTCTTTGTCAACAATTCTCAATCCTCAAACAAGGTTAAGATACACATCTTAATCAAGACCTCAAGGATGATTAATGCCTTAATGTTGTTTACTACCTCAAACCTCACTTAAAAATTCCACCACTTCAACACTAGTACTAGCTTTCTTTAACTTAAAAGCCACAAGCATACAAGCAACGAACTCTACACACACAGAATCGAGAAAAACAAGGACTTTATGCAACAATCAAATAGAATCATAAAACCCAAGAGAGGCACAACGAGCTGAATTGCACATAACATCATAGATATAATATATAACACACTTACGTTCAAGAGTTCAAAACACTAACAATCACTTGAACACAAACAAACTCTCTTTTACTAAAATCTTGACTTCTTAAATCTTAACAACTAAACCTTCCTTATAGCTAAAAAGGTTTAAGCATCACTATCATCACTACTATCATCATCATCCTCCTCGTTAACTCCACCACGTTCGTTAGAAATGTAAACTCCAGGCTGAATCGATCTTCTCCTCGTCCTCGACGGAAGAATATTATCCAAATCCACCTCCGCTAAAGGATCATCAGACAAATCACTCTCATCATACTCATCACCATCTTCATCATCATCATCACTATCATCACTATCATCACTTTCTTCAACTTCAATCATTTTTCCTTTTCCCTTATCCTCTCTCGATATACCTTTCCCTTTCCTCTCAACCTCCTCCTCCTCTTCCTCCTCTTCCTCCTCTTCCTCCTCTTCCTCCTCTTCTTCCTCTTCTTCCTCTTCTTCTCCATCTCCACCTTCATGCTTCTCAAGCGAGATCGACGATTTCAGATCCTCGACGCTGCTTCCATTAACTTCTCCACCGTCTTTAGACTCAGAATCAGCAGAGCTCGACGAAGGATTAAGCTTCTGAGCCTTGTTCGCCACATTCTCCTCGTCTTGCTCGCAACAGAGATCCGATTTCCGCTTCACTGGAATCGAGGAATCCTGCTGATTCTCAACGTCAGCCATAGATTGAAATCGTCTCCCTCAACGCTACAGAGTACAGATAATTGCGGCGGGTTTCAACGACGTTACAGAAGTTTAGGGTTATTGAGAGCAAACAGAAAACAAACTTTAACCCTAAAAATTTACGCGGTAACTTTTATTTATTTTATTTATTGGGCTTAGCCCATAGGCCTATTAACTCATCCCTCACTACCTCGTGATTGTTTTTTCTTTGTCAGGTGCATTTTAACCTGGACCCGAAAATCCTACCTAGGACCGACCCGAAAATATTTGATCCAAAACCGAACCGAAAATTTATAAGTACCCGTTGGATCTAAATTTCTTTTGCCCGAAAGAATCGGAACCGAAAAGAACCGACCCAAATAGATCTGGACCTGAAAAGAACTGACCCGAATAGATCCGACCCGATAAGAACCGATTTGTACCCGACTTAATAATATTTATATCCAAAACTATGTTTTTTTCTATTTTATATCTATTATTTTATGATTTAATTGAAATATTTTTGGTTAACAATATTCATTATTATTTCGTAACATTTTTTGAAGCAATATGAAACTTTAAAATGGAAATTTTTGAGTTTATCAATGTTTTATTTTAATTATTAATAGTTTCATTTAAATTTTTTTGTATTATTTAAGATATATGTGATAAATATCGACCAAATTTGATGGAATTAGATATGTCATGTTCTTTTGAGATCCTAAATACCCGAACCCGATCCGGATCTGAGATAGACCCGATGGATATTTTATCGTATTTTAATTATAGACTCGAACCGACTTGGACTCAAGAAGAACCGACCCGAACCCAAACGGAAAATTTCTAAGTATCCATTAGAACTAAATGTTTAAGACCCGAAAGACCTATACCCGAAAGGAACCGGCCCGAACCCGACCCGAAGACCCGAACACTCAGGCCTAGCGGGAGATACTAAACTGGTTTAATGCTATCATTTAACCGGTTTGGTTGTCTACTAATATATTTCGAACCGGTTTATCCATTATTTATTGGGCTTAGCCCATAGGCCCATTAGCTCATTCCTCACTAGCTCGTGATTGTTTTTTTTTGTCAGGTGGAGAGAACGTGCCGGGAGATACTAAACCGGTTTAATGATATTTATCTTACCGGTTTGGTATTCTACTAATATATTTCGAACCGGTTTATCCATTATGATTGAACAAAGTACAGATCCATCGGAGAAGAAGACAGAAGAGAAAGAGATTGAGAAAGAATGACTTCAAGGTACTGGGTGGTGTCTCTACCAGTGAAGGACTCTTCTTCCTCCTTGTGGAGTCTTCTCCAAGAGCAGATCTCCAAGCATTCATTTGATACTCCGGTTTATCGTGTACGAAATCTAATTTCAAGCAGAGATCTTTGTGATTACGATGATCACGATCTGATTTTTGATGTTTGATTTTGCAGTTCAATATACCTAATCTTCGTGTTGGAACTTTAGATTCTCTGCTCGCCCTCGGCGATGATCTGCTAAAGGTAGCATTTTTGCGATTGGATCATATTTGGAATTGATTGTGGATGTAATGATGATGTTTGTATTGAGATGTGTAGTCGAACAGCTTTGTGGAAGGAGTTTCTCAGAAGATAAGGAGACAGATCGAGGAGCTGGAGAGGATTTCTGGTGTTGAGAGCAATGCTCTTACTGTTGATGGAGTTCCTGTTGATTCTTATCTCACCAGGTATTTGATTTATTGTTTCTTCACAAAGAGTTTTTTGCTGATTTGGTAAAGGATAAAACTGTTTTTTGATTGGTGTCAAGGTTTGTTTGGGATGAAGCTAAGTACCCAACAATGTCACCTTTGAAGGAGGTTGTGGAGAATATTCAGTCTCAGGTTGCCAAGATTGAGGATGATCTCAAGGTATTGATGCTTAACGTTTAGTTTTATGGAAATAGAAAGCTTAAGCCTTCAGATAAATGGGTCTGTTGGTATATTAGACTGCACAAATGCGAGTTTCTTTGTGAAGATTAGTTTGTAGATCTGTTTTACGTTATGCTTAGATTAATTGGTCGTGTAACGACTATGATTGCACATGTATTCAGGTTCGCGTCGCTGAATATAACAATGTCCGCGGTCAACTCAATGCCATTAACCGAAAGCAGAGTGGAAGGTAAGCTTTGGTTTTCTTTCTCTTTTTTCGTACTTTACTTTCTCATCGAACTAAGTTTGCTTGAAACATGTTCTACAATGTTAAGATTTTAGAATAGTGCTGTTGGTCTTTTTATCTGTTTCTCTTTAGATATTTTCTATATATTTTGTGGTAATGTGGCTGAGTTTGGTCTTCCTCCTTTATGTTACAGTTTAGCTGTTCGTGATCTCTCAAGCTTGGTTAAGCCAGAAGATATTGTCGCATCAGAACATCTCTTGACTCTCCTTGCTGTTGTTCCAAAGTATTCCCAGAAGGACTGGCTAGCATGTTATGAGACATTAACCGAATTTGTGGTAAGTTGTCAAGTTTATGGAATTAGACCAATGGTAACACTACTATTTTTCGTCACAATGAAACTGATATTAATCACTTTATCCCTATTGTTTTCAGGTTCCTAGGTCCTCGAAGAAGTTGTTTGAGGATAATGAGTATGCTCTTTACACCGTCACTCTCTTTACTCGCGTTGCAGACAATTACAGGACAAGTGCCCGTGAGAAAGGTTTCCAAGTGAGTATGCTAGTCAAGTTCTTGATATGACCTTTAAAGCTTCCTTAGAAGTTAGACATAAAGTACCTGCTAGTTGTAGTGATATTTCCTTAGAACTGATTTCCCTCTCTGTGCACGTTATGAGATTTGTTGATTCTCATCGTATTTTGTACACCGTTTTCTTTTAGATCCGTGATTTTGAACATAGCGTTGAAGCACAAGAGACTCGTAAACAAGAGCTAGAAAAGTTGGTTCAGGATCAAGAAAGTTTGAGAACCTCCCTTTTGCAATGGTGCTACACCAGCTATGGAGAGGTAGATATAGCTATACTCTGGTTACATCATCTAAAAAATCAATACTCGAATCTGTTTTGATCGTTTGGTTTATATCTGTAGGTTTTCAGCTCCTGGATGCATTTCTGTGCTGTGCGCATATTCGCTGAGAGCATTATGAGATATGGTTTACCTCCTGCGTTCTTGGTAAGTTAACACTCCAAGCTATTCTTTTCAAGTGAATCCCTCAACCCTGTTAACCCCTGACCAAGCTACTTTCTCTTGCCGTGACTTTTTTTCCAGGCATGTGTCTTATCTCCGGCTGTGAAGAGTGAAAAGAAAGTACGCTCTATTCTTGAACGCATGTGTGATTCTACCAACAGGTATGCTAAAAGACTGCTCTATCGCTCTAGACATAGGTTACATGGAAGTTTAATGTTTGTGTCTGATTGTATGAAAAAAACAATGCAGTTTATACTGGAAAAGCGAGGAGGATACAGGAGCAGCCATGGCTGGTTTAGCAGGTGACTCGGAGACACATCCTTATGTCTCCTTCACAATCAACCTTGCTTGAAGTTGATGAGAGATTGGCTTGATGCTTCTTCTCCATCTCAGTCTCCATCTGTTATGTTTGTTTGTGTTCTATATATATTTTCATTTTTTATTGTTCGTAATATATTTTGATTTTTCAAAATAAAAGGAAGAAAATATTAAGGTGGCACTCAAGATACTGTAATTTTATTTTTGGCCGGAATCTTTTTAGGTTCCGGTGAGTTTCTGTTACTTGTGGAGAAGAGGTTGTTATACAGTTGTTACCTTCTCAAATAATAATATTTTCTTTATTTCACTGTAGCCTTTTATAAATTTATACTTTTTTTTTTCTGTCGGCCAATTTAAGCTACCTTTCATCAATCAGAAAATTATAATTCAATAATTTGTCTTTTACAAACAAACAAATCTGACTCACTCAATTTTGTTTATATTTTTTTTATAAAGTTAAGTTATCAATCGGCAGAAGACACATGGTTTGGATGATACTAAACTATTGACACATAGAACGTATTATTCCAAACGTTTATTAGACTGTATTTAAGGGAATTATACTGTTTAATTATATTTTCTTATATAAATAAATACACATAAGTGTAACAGTATCAACGTAGTAAATGTGGAAGTTTTCGTGAGATATAGAACAAGAAAAAACTCGACGGAGGAAAGATGACAACACTCTTAAAGCGAAAACACAAAGATTACAACATCAATAAAGTACAGATAGAAAGCTACAGATCCCAACAATGGCCAGAAGTAAAGAAAGATCAGGACGTAGCTGCATCGAGATGCCTGCAATCTTCCCATTAAACTGGCCTGAGCTAGGACCAGGGGCCTCTGTTTCTGGAGCAGGAGATGCAGCAGTATCGAATGTCAGGTCTTTGGTCGGAGAAGGGAAAAACGAGGACATATCCGGTGCATTAACATACGGTAAGACAGCAGGAGAAGCTAAGATTGTGGATTCACTGCAAACAAGAGTCCATTGAACCGACACAATGAACAAGAGAAACACGGAAACTGAGAAGCTAGAAGACAGAGCCATGAGTGTTTCTTTTCTTCTTCTGTTCTGCTAAAGAAAGATACTTCTTCCAAGTTTGTATAAATAATAGAACAGAGAAGAAGACAGATAAAGAAAGATATTTTTTCCAAGTGATTATAAATAATAGAACAGAGAAGAAGACGGATTATTTTGTTCCCATGTGTGTATTATGTATGTGTCTTACTAAGAAACAAAGAAGTGAATGAATGTGTTCACGGACTAAAGTAATGGGTCCTTAACGGTTTCACATGCCTTTTGTTTTGGTTTCTTCCTCTCAAGTCATGTGATTGCATTTACCTATTTTCACATCCACCACCACCTAAGGGTAATAAATAATCTGCTAATGATTCATCATACTAAAAGATTTTTTTTCTTTGGTTTACTAGTATAGGAATTACAGAAGACTCTTTTAGAACCTCTGCAAATGCAATGAATCAAACAAAACAAGGAGGTAAAGACAAAATTTTAATGAGTAATCCTTTAGCATTTCTTTTTCTTTCTTGCACAAAACAGAAAAACAAACAATACAAGAGGCTAGTGGCAGTAGCATGTAATCTGCAAAGCTTGTTGATCTTTCTGCAGACTCTAATGGCGTGTGAAAATTTACCAGCTTTTTAGATGATGCTACTACAACAGTCTAAGATGAGCGGTATCATTCAACCGCTTCACCTGCCACCCGGTTTTCCACGAATGCTGTAACACGGTCACGGAGGAATCCTCCACACAGATCTTATGCGTCATCACCGAGCTGCATCCGAGTATACCGGTAAGAAGACACTTTATAGGTAACGAATGTGTGAAAACACCAACGCAGGTCGGGAGTTGAGACGAGGAACTCTTGGCGTTTATATCACCCAAGTGCTGCTCATCATTCTGATGATTAAACATCTCTTCACTACCCTCGTGATCACCGGAAGTGTTCATCACCTGAAACCTGCTCTTCCCAGACTTCTTCCTTGTCAAACTCGGACGATGAATAGACGTAGCTAGCGAGTGAGGAGTAGTACTCTGTGACAACCCTCCTCCTCGGGCATTGATGTGATGTGTAGACCTGAGCTTATTCAGAAACTGAACCATCCGAAACTCAACTTGTCTGAGTGATTCTCCTGAAGGAGGTGAGAAATCAGGTTGGCATCTCTCTATCAAACTCAAAATTTCAGGAGTATAAATCTCTGATCTATGGAATCCTTCCCACTCTCCTAAACTCATCTCCACAATAGCGTCTGATGACTGTACATGCTCCTCTAGAAAATTCATTTCCTACATAAAGCAATCAACACCCCTTAAATCAAGAATCACTTGACAAAACTACATTTCACCTTCTTCAACGATCTTAAACACTCTATGAAGAGTATCAATGCAATCAAGAATCAGTTACAAAACTAAATTTCAGCTCCTTCAACGATCCTAAAAACTCTATGAAGAGTATCAAAGACAATGTTCACACCTGAAGTGACTCCAATGAACAAGATTCATAGCAGTTTCCTAAGAATCAATCTTACAAATACTATAAAATGATTTTCATCTCGTCAACATCTCTAATTCAATTCAATGTACACATCTTAAACCCTAAGATTTCAAAGCTAAGTCGCTCTTACAAGATCATATAATGATTCAACTTAGCTTCCTAATCTATGGAATCCTTCCCACTCTCCTAAACTCATCTCAACAATAGCGTCTGATGACTGTACATGCTCCTCTAGAAAATTCATTTCCTACATAAAGCAATCAAGAATCACTTACAATACTACATTTCATTTTCTTCAACGATCCTAAACACTCTATAAAGAGTATCAATGCAAAGTAACTCCAATGAACAAGATTCATAGCAGTTTCCTAATAATCAAGTCAAAATCAATCTTACAAAGATCATATAACGATTCATCTCTAATTCAATTCAATGTACACAGCCTTAACCCTAAGATTCAAGTCGATTCACACACACAGAGCCTTAAGATACCTGACAAACGGAAACAGCCATGGATCTAGCACGATCCAACGGCGAAGAGAAGACGGAGTTAAACCGAACACCTTCGGAGTTCAAAAACACGGCTAACGCCCTCGCCTGGCGTTTCCCGTTGGTAGTAAGATTCGCCACGTGGCACCTCCCTCCAACCAGATCAGGCCTTAGGTTAAGATCGCACTCTCCGTGGCTGATTAAATAAACCTCCGTAACGGAGCGATCGTGTTCCAATAGAGGAGGAGGGGGATGAGGAGAGAGGACGTTGTAAGGGTCCCACACTTTGATCGAAGGTCCGATTCGAGGCGTCCCGAGGGAAGAGAGCTGAGGAGAGAGCGGGGAAGCTGACGCGTGGCAGGGGAGCATCTCAGGCTCTTGCTCGAGGACTTTTTTCACTAAGACATTGTCTAGCTCTCTTCTGTTTAATCCGTCGTTAGCTTCTTCGATTTCTGGTTCGTCTTCTTCTTCGTCGTCTTCTTCTTCATCGTCGAGGAGTTGTGAAGACTGTGCTGAGCCCATTCTCTTTTGTTTCAAAGTGCTCGGAAAAGTTGCGGCGGCGAGGTTAGCCCGGGAGAGTAGGGATGCTTCTTCCAGTGAATAAATTTTTTTCAGATCTTGATGAGTTGGAAAACCTCCAGATGAAAAAGAGGCTTTAGAATGTAAATGATAAGGCCCAAACTATTTTTTGAAACGCTATTGGGCCGACTTGGCTCAAAATGTTCAAATCTTGGCCCTCAAGTTCCATTAGCCATAGACACTAGGGTTTATAATGAAATTTTAACAGCGAGTTTTAATCATTCTTATAAAGAATTTACGCTAGCTTTCAAAAATCCAGAAATATATTTTAAATTTCTATGGTATCAGATATATCATTGTAAATAACTCTTACGTTCATCTGCTGATATTTAAATGCTTAATCTTGCACTTTTTATGGTATAATTTAGGATTTGAGACACTTGAAAGTAGACAAAAAAAAAAACCAGATTATTTGAAGTATGCTTATAAGAAAAGGAATCAGTGTGAATACTTTGTTCTCTTGTGGAGTTTTTTTTCTTTTAAATAGAAATGACTTTATTTCTTTTAGAATGAGTGGAGGTAAAGGAAGATGAAGCAGAAGGGACCATAAGCCTCGTTGTTATAAAAGAAAGAGGGACCATTGCTTCCGAATCTTTTATCCAAGTATATCTTGAAATATTGGATTCTCTTTTTTTGGTCGAAAATTGATTCAAGTTTTAGCTTTTGTAATACTAGGATATTCTTAATTTAACTATTTTATATGACCATTTACATACCTATTTTTTAAACTTTATAATTGTAAACCGACTTACAAATGTTTTTGCTTGTTTGTTATAAGAAAAAGCTTTAAACTTAACGGTCGTGTTTAGCCTTTGCTAATCATCTTCCTAACGTTTCACCACTCTCTGTAACTGAACTAAGTAAACAGAAATAGAAAAAAAAAGAGAGTCAGAGAGAGGTGGCAAAGATGAAGTGAAGGAGGTGAGAGACGTAAAGCAAAGCAAAAGGGATCGTCACGAGAATCAGTGGCAAGTCTTAGCTTTTAGTATTTTGAGCTCTAAATTATTATCTTTTTGATGCAGCCATCTTCATAATATCCTCGTGATTCCACTTTAACGCCTCCTCCTTTTTCAAGAAAACATTTCTCAAATATATTCAAAGTATATCTCCGTTTCTCTCGCCTTGTCTCCCTTTTCAGGTTTCTCCCACCTCGAAAACTTTTCAGTGAAAACCGCTATGAACACCGATGGAACTTGGCTTCACAACACCGGTGGTGAACGTTCTCAAGTAGGTGATAACGATGAAACAAACCAAGAAGCAAACTGGTTCAATAACCCACAACCACTACCCCACGGTTCCCAAAACGACTTCAGATTCAACACTGGTGGGTTTCCCTTAAACCCTTCAGAGAATCTCCTTCTCCTTCTTCAGCAGCAACAATCTATTGATACTTCTTCTCCCTTGCAACACTTCACACTCGACCCTCCTCCTCCACAACAACAACAACAAGAACAGTCTTTCTTAGCTACAAAATCTTGCTTCACTTCTCTTCTCAACGTCCCCACCAGCAACACCAACAACAACCCTTTCGATGAGCTGGGCTTCAGCTCTGGAGTTTTAGGACAACTCCATGGAAACTCCCTGAGTTTCTCTACTCTGAGTTCACTTCCAAACACCACTGAAGTAGGTAACAGATTCACTCCTCTGGAGTTTGCTGGAGTTTCAAATAGTGTTTTTGAGAACAGAGCTAAGGTTCTGAAACCATTAGACGTCTTAGCTTCATCTAGCTCGCAGCCAACACTCTTCCAAAAACGAGCTGCAATGCGTCAAACCTCAAGCAACAAAACATGCAACTCAGAGTCATCCTCCGAGATGAGGAGATCAAGCTACGAGCGTGAGAATCTAGATGACGCAAGTACTGGAATCATGGACAATATCTCTGATGAACATAACAACAAAGGGAAGAAGAAAGGAATGCCTGCTAAGAATCTAATGGCTGAGAGAAGAAGAAGGAAGAAGCTTAATGATAGGCTTTACATGCTTAGATCAGTAGTTCCAAAGATTAGTAAAGTAAGTTTTAAGATTCTTCTTGTTTTATTCTTTTCTTGATTCTCCTTTTATAATGATGATTCTTGTTTCTTTTGTGGATGCAGATGGATAGAGCATCTATACTTGGTGATGCTATTGATTATCTTAAAGAGCTTTTACAGAGAATCAATGATCTTCATACCGAACTTGAAACTACTGCTCCACTGAGTTCTTCAAGCTTGCAACCAACGCTAACTTACCCTGTTAAGGAAGAGTTGTGTCTTTCTTCCTCCTTTCCTAGCCCTAAAGACCAGCAAGCTAGAGTAAGAATTAAGCTTATTTGATTAAGTAAGGCTTCTTTGTTTTGTTATTGACTTTTGTTTTTTTGTTAATAATGTAGATTGAGGTTAAGTTAAGAGAAGGAAAGGCAGTGAACATACACATGTTCTGTGGACGTAGACCTGGTCTTTTACTTTCAACCATGAGAGCTTTGGACAACTTAGGATTAGATGTTCAACAAGCTGTGGTTAGCTGTTTCAATGGGTTTGCTTTGGATGTTTTCCGAGCTGAGGTAATTACTAAGTTTGTAAACTAAAGCAGTCAAAAGAATAGTTGTTTTGAGAGAGTGATTAGTAGTAGTAGTAGTAATAACATGTTTTGTTTTTTTTTACTAATCAGCAATGCCAAGAAGGCCATGATGTGGTGCCTGAACAAATCAAAGCGGTGCTGTTAGACACTGTTGGTTATACCGGTTTGGTTTGATAAGTCCAGTTCCTTTGAGGAACAAAAAGAAGTACCTGTGTGAAACAGATTTAGATCTAAGCTTTTTCTCTTAGTTCTGTAATTTTCTTCTTACTTAAGTTTCTTCAAAGTTGTAACCATGTATTTCAAATGATAATTGTTTTCTTTTTAGGTTTGAAACAAAACATGTGTTTTGGTACGTTTCAACCTTTTAGAAAAAGGTCATTTTACAATCATTTCATTTAGCTTTTGGAGAAATGTGGTTTCCAATGATTTGCCCGTGTACAGCATGATCTCTTTCAGAAACTAGAAACGAAAAAAAATGTCAGGAATCCTAAAAATAGGATCAATTACAACACAACAAACTGTCTAGCAAACACATAGAAAACTGTTGGAGAAGAAGATAATAAAAGCTTAAGAATTGATAAAAGACCATCTTATGTCACATTTGCCACACTGTATCGGTCAAAAACCAGTGTTCTCACTTCAATCAGAATCCTCATAAACTTCACCATCCGACAACTCATCAAACGTCCTCATGTCAAGCTGGTAACGAAGCATACCACCAATCCCACCAAACCCTCTGCAAAACTGCGACCCTTCTTGCGACTTATTAGTCACAAACTCAAGCGTACACCCAAAACGTTTATACTCATTCGCAAACCACTCAAGCAAAGGCATCTTCTCCTGAACTTCAAGCTCAGCGTTACTCTCCGCATCATGGAAATTACTCTGATCAGTCTCCTGATCTTTCCCAAAATGCTTCACCACTATCTCCCCACTCGTACTGTTCTTCAACTCATACCTGTTGATATCAAGATTCTCCCACACAATCAAAGTCTCAATAGCTCCCATCTCCAGAGCCTTTAGAGTATCCTCCACACCAAACACATACTTCCCAGTGTCCTGACTAATCTCCTCAAAGTACTTCCCAATAAGCTTCTTCTCCTGTATGAACTTCACATTAGACAAAATCTCAGCAGACAACTCAATGGCCTGATTAAAACCGTTTTCACCTCCGTAGGAAACATCAACCACATTCAATATCTTAGCCTGAAGACGAGGATCAAACAGCTCAGACTGACTAAGCTCCGTCTTGAAATCAGCCGAACCAGCGAGAATCATACCAGCTACATTAGGCTGACTCGTCGCCGGGTTAATATAAAACTGCGTAGCGAGCTCTGCAGTCTTCCTAACGTAGTTATGTCTCTTCTCCATCCTAAGCCTCGCGAAACGAAGCGCAGATTGTCCTCCTCTCCCATGCTTCTTAGGCAAATCAACGGTAAACTTATGAAGAACCTCTCTAGTGTTCCCACTCAATGTCCCAAACAACGTCCCGTTACCATCCATCACAATGAAACCAAACTTATCATCGCTCTCTAAAAGCTCATTCAAGGCACCAGTGTGAAACTTATTATCACAGAGATACAAGGAAGCGTTAATGGGCCTAAAGGGCTCGAAATCGAACGTGACTTTCTTCTCCTTGCCGTCGTCGTTGACGATGGTTCCTGTGTAGAGGACGAGTCCGTTGGTGGGGACTTTGTTGTAAAGCTTTAGTCTTTGTTGAGCGGATGTGATGGCTGAGAGGACTGATTGGCGATTGACGCGGGACTTGATGTTGGAGGCGGTTCCGTATTCGTCTCCGAGCATCTTTGTGACGCGTGAGACTTGGTCACGTGGCGGCATGATGAGAGAGATCATGCTTGTTCCGTTTCCTCTTGCGGATTCGAGTCCTTTGATTAGTTTCTTGATTTTCCAGATCTCGATGTTCGTGTCTGCCTCTTGATCTGCCATTTTTTCGTAGATGGGAGACGACCTAAGAAGACAAAAGTGAAAGAAAAAAAAAATCAAATTGAGTTTTGAAAAAAAAAAACAGAGAAGTAATGATTTTAGGACAGAACATTACGAAACCTAGGTTTTGTCTGAAGGAAAGATATAAACTTTATTTATAAACTCTATGATCAAACACTATACGATGAACAGATTTAATCGATACGGAGAGAGAGATCGAAATCACCAAAAAACGTACCTATCAATACAAAAGTGAAGAAATCACACCGAGTTTTGAAAAAAAAACAGAGAAGTAAACATTTTCGGACAGAACATTACGAAACCTAGGTTTTGTCTGAAGGAAAAATAAAAATATAAACTCTATGATCAAACACTATACGATGAACAGATTTAATCGATACGGAGAGAGAGAGAGAGAGAGATCGAAATCTCCGAAGAACGTACCTGAATCTCTCTCTAGCAGCGACTCCGGTGGCGTCTCCTCCCACAAGTGATTCGCTTAGGGTTTTCCCAGATCCTTACCTCCCCACGTGAAACTCACGTGCACGAATTCCGACAAAAAGCTAATGGGCTTGTCTTAACTCAAAAGGGACTACTCACGTGAACAATCTCCTTTCTGTCCTATTTTATAGGCCCATTAGTGATTATTTATATTCCTTATGGCCCATTTAGGTACCCAAACGAAGACGACTTCTTGCTATAATATTTAACATCAAGTGGTACAACCGTACAAGAGTGCACCGTTGAGTAAAATTTCGTGAATGGTGCAAAGTTTTGTGTCCATATCATTGGTGATTGCTGTTTTTTTTTTCTCTAGTTAACGTTTACATACAAGTATACAACAAAAGATATGCCAAGTCTCTTATATACCTAGTACCTTGAAATCATTTGCTATACATACAAAAGTCCAGTACTATACCTGACCCTATACTAAATCTATTACTGCCTAACATCTTGTAATCAGTCAAATACAATACCTCCTTTTTTGCTTATAGTTGTTACCTTATTTATTTCATCAGAAACTGTATAAACCTTATCATAACCAAACTCTTAGACATTTCAATCGTAATACTTTTTTTTTTCAATCGTAATACAAGTTTATATCTATATTTCAAAGCGTCTGATACTCTGATACAGTGATACTTATCTAGTGTGAATTCATATGTTATGCAAGTATAGAATTTTCAAGTTTCTAGGTAAAGTTGGTAAGTCAATTAAATATGTGCAATAATGTTATAGCTAAACAGGTCCATGCGGGCTCCATCCTGACTATTTATACGAAGAATATGTCTTGGAGAAAGTATCTAAAACCAGTGACAAAGAATTAATTCATGTTGTATAAGAATAGTCCATTTATATTTGACCAATAGGAATCCGTTGTCTGATTGTTATCTTAATCACTTCGTTGTCAATCTTATATCATTTTCTTTGTTCACATCTTCAGTTCAATCGTGCAGCCAGGTTTGATTTATGTTTCTTCATAATTCAAATTGCATTTTTGTTGGATAGTTTGTTTTTCTACTCCAAATTAAGAGATTCAGATGGTTGATTTGAAAATTAATTTAGACGACTTTTGGAATATGCGGCTGAGTGATAATACTAGTAGTAAAATATTTGATACTAAACACCATTGATCATGCAATACGCAAATATTAAAATCATTTTGAAATAAGTAAACTCTTTTCAACATCCCCAGGCCCACTGAAAAGTGCCGTAATATATTAGGTACGGAACTTATATTAAAAGAAACCAATTCTTTATATATATAAATGTGACGATCGAAAATAAGTATTACTTACTTTGATGGTGATTTTTATTTAATTATAGGTGACAAGAAATGACCACAAACCACAAATTACATTAGAAAACAACTTATACCACAAATTACATTAAAAAAGAGTTAATTGGCTAAAGTACCCCAAATAGACACTTATATTTGTAACTTACCCATAATTTAACTTAATTATTTTTATGATGGTTTTGCCATTCCTCCACATACATGTGACCATGTGGATGTGTCAGTCCTTCATTTTCGCTAAAAGCTCTCTCTCTCTCTCTCTCTCTCTCTCTCTCTCTCTCTCTCTCTCTCTCTCTCTCTCTCTTTTTT